TTGGTACAGTTACCTTTGTGGAAGAAAACTTAAAAGAGCCATGTCCAGAGCATAGCCTCTTGTCCTCCAGAACAACATTAGGAATTACTAACAGAAGAAAAACTAAACTATTGCTGAGGTTGTGTTGATTTTTGTCATGGCTGTACAGCAAGCAGCATCAGGATCAGACAACACTTAGTTAAAGGCTATCTTAAATTAATTCAATATCAAGAGAAGAAGTAAATCTACCATTGGAAAACAACCAAGAGCCTAGCAACACACTCAGAATGCTGGCACTCAAGGACTGTATTAGCTATGCTGTACACTTAATCAAACAGGCACCATCATAACACAGCAAGCAAAATACTGTGCTAAAATCTATATTTTACAGTGTCAGCAACACAGAAAGAGCATGATGGCTGAGGCCAGCTGTTAAGCATGGCTCTGCTAGCTGTAATTTGTCCTTTTTCAAATTTGATAGCTATCTGAAATTTCATTCAGCTTCCCAGTAAACACAACTCATAGCCTATAACTCTCTTCCCTAAGAGAGAAATACACAGTTCTTATCAAAGGATTTCCAAATTAGAGTACTACATTTTCGATGGCCAGATCTACTTCCAGCAAACACAGATGGATTTGGTAAATTTGGTAAATTTTGAGTGTTCATTCCTAAACCAGGATTTAAAATGCTAACCAAACCTCCACAGAAGCCTCACAGATTCAAACAGTAAAACAAAACAACAAATAGTAAAACAATGCCAACCTCATCAGTGATAATTCTTCATTATTTTTAAGCCTTCATCATGGAAAGGTGGGGTAACAATTAGCAGACCAGAAATCAAGTGAAATTTTTTATAATCTTGATACCATTCTTGGGACTTCTGAAACAAATTTTTGACAGCCTGCATCGAAAACCAAACTGTAATATATAATGTGGCATAAAAAATTGCACGTATGCACAATCTTCAATAGTCAAACTAGGAACTTTTTTGATAAGAGGATGTTTGTCTGAAGGATGAACAAGTGTGTTCTTTTAGGTCAATTAAAATTTTGGTGATGACTGAAAGCCACAGGACAGAAGAAATGTTAAAGAAGGAAAAAAAACTCCTGTAAATATAGAACTGTATCTGCTTTGAATAAAATAAAAAGCACACAATAAAAAACAAATGCAAGCAACTGACCACAAGGTGCTTCATTCAAAGTGGAATATGTCAAAACTAGCCATATCTGACAGAATTATGTATAAACAAAGTTACTAAGTATCACCACCTATTAAAGTTGTATAATTTATAAGTTAGCTTATGCATAAAAACTAATCAAATATTTTCAACAAAAACCTTCAAGATTTGTTACAATGCAACAAAACCAAATGAAAACAAAGTAACTTTAGTATTTTATTAAAAAAATTCATTCATAACTTAGTTCAGATCTAGGTTCCATCAGGCCATGAGTAAGGTGTTCTGTGTCCAAATGTGAAATAAAAAACAAGCCTGACCACATGTCAATTTTAAGAAGCAACCAAGAAAGTCAGTTTCCAATTTTTATTCCCTGTTTATGGGATTTGGGGATTTACGCCCACAATCTTTGGAAAAGTTTTGCTAGTCAATGACGTTTCTCACTCAATAGAGGTTGGAGCTAAATGTCAATTTGAGTAATTACATGTATTTGCTGAGTTGAAATTCCTTCTAGAGCTTCAGTTTTTATTTTTATTAAATATGGTGGTTTTATTGAGGAATGTGGTTATTGCATTCAGCTCCATACATAGCCTCAGTCTGTTTTGCAACTGAAATCTCAAAAGATAACATATACACACTATCACAGCTCTGACCCCATAGCCAGTATAAAGAACAGCATGGATTTAATAAGAGGCATATCATAAAATACACATTGAAGAGCTGACCCACATTAATGGGGTTTTTTTCCTCCCCAAAGCCTCAAACACAAGGCTTCTGGAAATCATTGTCATTTGACTTAATTTAGCCAGGCCTGTCTTGTTGTGCATAGTTACAAGAAATCTATTAAGGTTTTTCTCTCCCAATTTCTTTAGGGTAAAGACAGCCTTACATCAGTAATGAAGTGCTTCAAGGCAGAATATAGTAATGGACAAGTAATCTTATAATTCTTACTATTAAAAGAAACAACTACAAAGAAAAAAGTAGAAAAAACCCCAGACACAGACACACAAACCCAAACCCAAAAAAAAAACTCCACAATTTTGGTATAATTTTAGCAAAAGCAACCACTGCTAAAAATAGAGGCCATTTCCATTTCCCCCTCCCCAGCTTAAAGCTCCAAGTGCCACAACTAATGGGGCTCTGTTCAATTTTTTCAGCTCTTTTTTTAAGCATTTATTTATAAACAAAATCACATTTACTGCAGTCTTACTTCTTCACCCAAATTTAGCAAGAAGTTACAAATTATTCCCATATAAATAAGTGCAGTATGCTTTTAATTTCCAGAAAATTCCCTTCTGCAGCTGTATTCTAAAATGATACTACAGCTTATTACAGAACAACCAGTGCAAGGGTTTTAAATGCAATGACATCAACAGAAACTAAAGAAAGCCAAAGGATGTCAATTCTAAAAAGTTAAGTTTATCTAGTTGTTTAAGACATAATTAACCTTTACTGTAATTTGTCTATAAAGGTAATTTAATGGTCTTCTTTCAGGAAATACAGCTAAAAAGACATAACTCCTTACTAGGTCACACATCTGAATACAAATGCAATTATCAAAACATGACCTAGTTCTGAAAAGCAATAAGTAGAATATATTTTAAATGAGATTATAGTATTAAACTCTGATAGAAAAAAAGAACAAAATAGGAGATTGGAAATATTGTTACCTAGCTACATAACTTTCTGCAGTGGTAAATATTAATTTGAAAAGTGTTTCCCCTCAACTATCTCACAGCATTCTAGTTGTTGCTGAGCAAGAAAAACACCATTATTATTTTCAATTTACAGATTAATTGCAGTGACCAAATGCAAATACGATGTCCCTATATAAATTACATTTGGTAATGCTGTAAAATTAACATTCACTTCTATTCAGATTCACCCAACCAATCTAACCTGCTGTATGTATTTTTCTGATACTGTCTACATTTCCTGAATGGCGTACTGAGACCCCACCTGGGGTAATGCATTCAGCTCTGGGGTGCTCAGCACAGGATGGACATTGACCTGCAGGTGTGAGTGTACTCTGCAGTGAGCCCAGAGGATGCACACCAAGCTGATCAGAGGGATGGAGCACCTCTCCTATGAAGGCTGAGAGAATTGGGATTGTTCAGCCTGGAAAAGAGAAGGCTTTGGAGGGACACAACTGCAGCCTTCCAGTACCTGAAGGGAGCCTAGAAGAAAGATGGAGAGGGGTTTTTTACAGGAGTCTGTAGCAACAGGACAAGATGAAAAGATTCAAGCTGGAAGAGAGTAGGTTTTAGGAGGAAATTCTTCACTGTGAGGGTGGGTGAGCTATTGGCACAGCCTGCCCAGAGAAGCTGTGGATGCCCCATCCCTGGAAGTGTTCAAGGCCAGGCTGGATGAGGCTCTGAGAATGATCTACTGAAACTGACTGAGGCAAGTAATTCACTGCACGCCTTTAACATAACACTGAAAATTTGCTTACATATTCAGTAGTTAAATGCTCTCACAGGAACTTTAATGAAGATGAAAACAATCAAACATTTTTCTCAGGGCTTTTTCAACCCTGAGACAAAACAAAGCATCAAATAACTGAACATTTTCCAGTCATTCAGTGAAGAATGCCAAATTCAAATATTTCTTCAGACTTTAAAAATATTCTCATTTACAAATTTGAAGATAATTGATTAAAAAAAACCCTATTTATTAATCATAGGAAAAACCTGAAACCAGTTGCTCATATTTAAACACTTATATGCAGCTTAAAGTATTTCCAGTAACTTCAAGCCAAGGAAGGCTGAAAAATTATTCCTTAATGATAAGCAAGCCTCCCAAAATTCTTACAAAGAAAATGAATGGAATAACTTGTTGCCACTTGCTTGGCATTACAATAAAAGGACAAGTACTGGCATGACATACAGTATCAGCTGCAGGAAATTAATGATCTATTCACGTCATCTAGGTATTTTGCAGATTTCACTTATTTAAACAGCTTTGAGTGTCTACTTCACTTCAAAGACATGACAGTCATTTCAGGACGTAAGTATCTGCATGAATTACCTAATCAAAGTTTCATTCTTCAGCAGGTCGTCATTTAACTAAAAAAAACCCTGCTATCCATTCATAAAGTTCTGCCAAATCAAAATGTTACATAGTGTTCTTAAGGAAATGCATCTAACAATATTTTAGAAGTTAAATGTAGAAAATTAATTCCTTAAAACATGGAACACTACACTTATCTTTTCAACAGATCATATTGGCAATAACCTGTTGAAAGTAATTATATTTAAACTGATCAGCAGAGATGTAGAAATATAATTACTTGATGGTGAATTCTTAAACTAAAACATACAATGAAACTACTATCCTTAAGAATCGGTACAAGTGGATTAAAATCCAAAAGTATTAACAGGTTTTACGACACCAAAACATATTAAACAAAATTTTCAAATACCTTAGTAACTAAATTTCTATCAGCAGCTGATGTTTAACATGCTTCTAAAATACATAAGACTGTACTAATAATAGAAACCACAAGAATTCAATAGTAAAAACTGAATTCTAAGGCACTTTGATGTCACTGAACAATCCAGCCTTTATGAAAACAGCAGGGCAAATCACCTCTATTTCATTTGATATTTAGCATTCTTTTAAAAAGTCTAACTCAACTTGGAACTTTTTAAAGGGATAAATGCACCATGAGTCATATTTATCAATATACTCCATAATCCCAATAGGTTCTTTCCAATTCAAGATCTGTGATGTGACAGTTAGGGATACTCTACTACCTGTCAAGAATTAACTGTGCATGTTTATGTAATTCCTCTGATCTAACATTCTTAGGTTAAAATAACATTTTTCAAGGGAGAGGTTACTTACCCAATTCATTAATAGTCGCTCTTGCTCTGGAGACAAAAGAACTAACTTCACTTGAGTGCATTTTTGCCCTTTCCTTAAGGTCAGCACCTGGAAGTGACATTTCATACATATGTTAGGAAACTGTAAACAGTATTGTAGATACGTTTTAAAAACTAAAATATTTCTTCATTTATAAAAATTTCAAGTCCATTTCTAAACAGGAGTTAAAGTTGTTCATATAAAGTTTCCACAGATTTCAAGGAACATATGAACTATTTATCAGGAAAGAAAAAAACAAAACCAAAAAGCCCAAAAAAAAACCCCCAAAAATGAAATTATTAATATTTTAATTATTAATGAAATTAACCGTATTTTCAGTTAGTATATTCTTCCCAGTGAAATTTCTTTTTCTCTTATTAAAATAGTTTATGAACAGTAACAGTTATGCTTATAGTTCATCTGTCATACTGTTTTATTTTCCCAACTGTGTCACAAAGTCTGATAAATGTGTGTTTTTCATATTATACTCTTGTTACTCTCTTATTGGTAGATCATACAGTACATACATTGCATGGTTTTACAATAACAGGCTCTATTTCTAAATAAAAATGCTACAGTGGACCAATTTTTCAGTTCACTTTCCACTCATTAATTTATATTTATTTTGGAATAAGTTACATACCATAATTTTTTGTTTGTCAAAAAAAAGCCACACCTTGAAAATGTTTACCTATTTCTTCATGTGTATATAAAAATTAAGTTTGTTTAATAAGCATACTAAAGCTAGATATGGACACAAATGTGTTTTTAAAATCTCACTTATAGAAAAAGCTGACATTTCCACTCCTGAGTGTGTAAAAAAGAAGAAAACTAACAATAATAATAATAATAATAGCTAAATATAAAAGCCTATCTTTCTTATAGATGAACAATACATTAAAAAGGCAAAACTTGCATAGACACATTCTCTAAAGAAGTGAAACAGTCGCAAGGTAACTTAGTGTGCATTTGTTCCATTTGGTAAAAATTAACCGATTGAGCTAGTGTCTCTGCATGCCTGAAAAGACTAAAAAAGACAATAAAAGAAAAATTTAAAAAAAAAAAGGTTTATTTTTCTCTATCCAGATAATACTGTTCATTCAGGAAAATGCACTAAACCCAGATAAAGTGAAGCCTGTAGCTAGGAATTTTAAATTATGCAGTTATAGGTTTCATTTCACCTTTTAACTTTCTGGACTTAATTCATGATAGGCCATCATGACCCTCTTCATCAAACATAGTTTTAGACATACTTTTGCTGACAGCATTAGCTGTAATGCTAAACAACTCTAGACTAGCTCTGTGAAAATCAGTATCTCAATCTAACATGTTCTGATGGACATCCAGTTGTTGCTTTAAAGTACCATGTCTAATAATGCAGCTCTACCTCTTTCCTTCTTCTTCTGTCAAAGCACAGCTCCTCTTTCAACTGTGACTTCTCCTCTCCTTCTATATATGTCAATATAAGAACAATGAAGCATCAGTCCTGGCTGCATTTACATATTTCCTGCTAAGTAACATTAAGCCTAATTTACACTACAAGGCACTTCACAAAAAACTTCCAAGTAACCTTCTAGAATGTGCCCCAACTGAGACAGTAGGACAGGCCACTTGATCAGACAGTACGAAACAGGAATTACTTAAGTCAAGCTTGCACTGCAGAAAAATTGCAACTGCTACCTTAGTAATTCACAATCAATGCATAAAGAAATTTTGCCAGGAACCCAAAAAGCAAACAAAATTTGCACCCATAAACCTGGATAGAACTCCAAATCTAATAAAACTGCAAGCACCTTTCACAAATCCATTTACATATAGAATTCTGGAGCTAAAAGGAGCTTTTGAAATGTCATGTTTAAGAAGCTAAATGGTAAATTGCTTTAGAAGTCACATCAGCAAGGATGCAAATGAAAAAATATCATTCACTTGATACCAGTTAAAGTCTGGATCTAGCGTCATCAACTCTGTTCAAATCACTGCCTATCTAAGAAACCGTATGCTTTATGTACAAAAAAATCTTTGGCTGTGCAATCTGACTCAAAACTTCCACACACTGAAATCATGCTCACTGGGCATTCCCTTGAAAAACATTTTAAAGAAAATATCTAGTATTACTGCAAACAAAATCTTCTGTCAACATAAGATTAAAGCCATTTTTAGGGTTTGATTTATTCAGACTAGAATATTGCATAGAAAAATGGACTCAACCAAAAGAATCCAACTCTTCTCAAACAAAAAATACATTGTAGACTTCTTCCTTCAGTTAGAATATACATTTTCTTGGAGACATTTACGTAAATTGATGAAATATTTAACAAAAACCTTGTTTAGGAATGGATTAAAATATAGCTGCTAATTTAAAATTATCAATATGGTCTACTGTAAATAAATTTCAAGAATACAGCTGATCTTAGTGCTGTAACCAACTTCTGTAAACTAACATTTCTTTTTTTTATGTGTTTATCCCTCACAAATGTCAAGGAAATGGAAAGAGTCCTTTTGGTAGCCCTTTTTCTATTTTAGCTCTCCAAAGAATAGAAATAGTAACTGAAGCTTTTTCAGTTAGAAGAATTTTAGTCAGAAGCCATTCACTGCACTCCAAAAGAACATATGTCTTGGCATCCTCTGGGTCACAGGAGATGGAACTGCCACCAACTTAACACTTTTGTTCCTGTTATAAGATTTGTCTGCTCAAAGAATTATTGATGAATTCTGACCCACATAGCAAAGAACTGTTCACATATTTCTTCAAAATCTGTTTTTAAGTCAGAAGTAGAAAAGGTTTAGTTTCTGAAGCTATAGCTATGAAGGAGAATGCAAGTGGAACCAGAGAGTTCTGCTCTCTCAGCTACTAAAACCAAAGTCCCCTCCCCTCACCCCAGGTTTTCTACTTCAAAGTAGCTGAAAATAGTCTTTGCTTAACTGCTGAGAGCAACAAAGTAGCTAAGGTTTTCAAACCACAAAAAGTCTGACACAACAAAACTGCAATTTTTCTACAGGCCGCAGCTGAAATGTGTGGACAGTTTGACCTATCTGCTCCCCCAAATCCACTCCCAGCACACTCCAGGGACTTTACTGCGGGCCCATTCCTTCCTGCCACACTGAACACAGAACCCTCTAAGACCTCCTACCCGAGAAGGAAAAAGGCAAACCCAAGCTACTAGGGAGTGGAGGCATATGAACTGTTGCAGTTTTGATGGTACACTGTAATTATGTCCCCACATCCATCCGGTTTGTACTGGAGCAGGAATTGTTTTCTCCACATTAAGCTTCCTGATATCTCAATGCTTTGTCCCAATCATTGATTTCCATCCACTCAAAACAGTAACAGAAGCTGTGATTTTAGGAGTTATGCTACCCAGCTCTCACCTCACTGCTCCCAGCATTTTATGAACAACATTTTAAAGACTGTGAAATGCCATTTTCAAATTACTAGCTGCTACTGCAGGATAAAAGAGAAGTGCCACAGTGAAAGACTACACTGACAGTACCATCAGCCGCTCCCTCCATCAGCTATATTAGCATTCCATCAGGTATTCTCCACTTGTGAATAAACTCTTCCTGAATCAATTTAATTCACAGAAGTATCACTTCAAAATTTACACAGCAAACTGGTAGAAGAGAACTTTCCTGATGACTTCCAATGAAAAGTTGTGTTTGAAAACTACAGTACAGGCGTTGTTCAGCAGTCAGCTGTGATCTGGTCTTTCCAGATCAATTCTTGAAACTGATGTAAGGAAGATGCATGCTGTTTTAACTACCTACACTTGTATTGAGGTTGGTCAATCCAAAATAAAATCTCTGTTGGATTTTGAGCTATCACTTTCTCATTTTCCTCCTCCTATATCAGAAGAAAATAGGAAAGTTAGTTTGTTTCCCTTTGTTACCTTACTTTCCCTAAATATGAAAACCCTGTCATAGTAACTCTCTTTTGCATGGTTTCAAATATTCAGCTATTCAATGGTGGGCTGTAATACACTGTCAGCTGAGAGAATTATTGCAGCAGGTGCCTGACTTCCACTTCATAATGATGCCAGAGAAAATGTTTATTTGAGAAAGCCAAGGGCAGTCCAGCAAGATAGCGATACTGCTGTTATTCACCAGAATTTTCCACCTACACATATGACAAGGATGGCTTTTAACTTAGAGAACACACCAAAGGAAACCAACTTTTATAGTGATTACTCTGACCCCATGCCTTCTGCCTTATTTGGATATTTTTACAAACTTGCTAATCAGAATTTATATACTGTTGAAAAGCAGTATGCTGTGTTTGTAAAATATATTCCAACTATAAGCGCCTCACTTTCCAAATAATATAAATGCCAAGAAATCTTCTTGCACAGACTATTTTATGCAACATACAAAACACACCCCAAAATCTCTAAATCAAAACCTTTATTCAATAAATACTTTGTATTAAAAAGTAGGTCTTTTAGAAAGCTGGCACACCAAAATTAAAATTAACAGTGAAGTTATTCTCTCAAGTGTCTAAAGGTGTCTTTTGTCTGAGAAGACAAAAGGAAGTGACACATGCACAGGCATTTTAGGTAGAATAAAGTATTAAATTCTTAGTGCAGCAATGTTACTGTGAGCTTGCCCTTTGATCTTGCCACAGATCAACCAGTTCTGTCAACACACCAAAATTTTACTAAGGAGGTGACACAGGGGACTATCAGAAGATACTCTATTCCATACTATATCCTATTATTCTGTATCTTGTCAGCAAGAGCTGAGAACACTGCAAACACCAAAACACAAAGGTACCACCAATCCACTCAAACAAGTTAAAGAATTTATGAAGGAAACTTACAATGCTTTCAGCTAGAAGTACAAAACACACATTACCTCACCAATTAAAATACTATGAATTCCTATGGACCCATATCTTATTCCCACACAATGCATTTAAGCAGACTGTGAAGTAACATTCATCCTTCTCCACATACACTGAACTAAATAAAATACTGAGGGCAAAGGGCCAACTTTGACATACATTATAGATTAACTTAAAACCACTGAAAAACAAATCCATTAAGGTATATGAAAATATCTTTATTTAAAAGCAGACATGTGCATCTAGAGAAGCCATTCCAAGAAATCCAAGAAATCATTAGCAGAACACCAATAAACTTCTACAAGGTTAAGAAAACCTCAAGAGGAAGCTGTACATACATCTGAGGACAACATTATAGTCAACTTACATTTAAAATGAGAAAGAGTTATCCACATTTCTTTTTCTCCAAAGTTGCAAAGAACTTCAGATCTAAAACTTTTACCCTGAAATCTGTTTATGACAACTTAGCTCCCAATTTTAGAACTATGGTACCTCATGATACATTGCAGTAGAGATGGACACATGACATGACACTAGAGGTTCATGCAGTAACAGCCAACTTTTATTGAGTTCCCTTTACATAGTTTTCAAAAGCCCACACAGTTGCCCCTGATTGTCTGAATTTAGTTGCCACTCAGCTTACCAGCCAATAGCTGTCTGCATCCCCAACAGCCTAAACTGGGTCCCTAATGGCCTAGATGGGTTGAATTATATAATCAGGGTTATCTATAACTGTAGGGCCTCCAGGCCAGCGGTTAGCCACTAGAGTTCCCCCTTTTTGTTTTTAAATACAAAGGCAGTGTCTGTCTTCCTCTGCAGAGCTGTTGCAGACAGGACAACAAATGTGGCACAATGCACAGAATAATGATGATGACATAAATAATAAGCCTAGGCTGAATGAAGATCTTTACCCAACACAACAAGTCTAGCCTTACCAGCCATTGGTTTATCCCACATACCTTCAAGAGATTTTACAAGCATGTCCAGAAGCCATCAAGCAAAGCTTCACAGTGTGGTATGCTGCAGGCTATTTACATCTATGACCTAATTACACAAACTTAAGAAAGTTACAAACAAGTCAACTCAACTGTCAGATATAACATTCAAAAAACTGTAAGAGATAAAATTCAAAAAACTATAAGGGGTAATGTGTCTATGTATTGTTTCCACTATAAAATACATATCCTTCTATCAGTCCTGTCCTTTAAATGTCCAATTCTTGAAGTTAAAGGAAGTTAAAGGCAAATTGTCATATCAAGGGCATATATCCTTAGTCTTGTCCTTCAATAGTTTGACTCTTCAGGTTCAAGTGAAGCAATGGGCAAACTTTTCCACAATTCCTGATAACATCCTGCATTTGACAAGTCAGTTTGTTAGGTCGTGATTGAGAATTTTAAGAACGTTCAAGGCTTTCAGGGGGGTATATACCATCCCCACACACCCCCTTCTTTTTTTTTTAAACATGCATTTTAAAGTGTCATGGGCATGCTCAACAATGTCTTCCTTTTAGCTACTACTGGAATTATTTTCTTGTATTCTTTCCAGCAGCTCATACAAGTAAGAACTACATGTTCTCATGCTATTCCATTTTTTATATAAACAATTCCATAACTGCTGTTTAATAAAGCCAGGTTTCTTTTAAACATGCATTGTGATATTGTTCAGCTGTCTCTAGCACTCATTTGTGGAACATAAATTGAGTTGGACTGAATTAAGTTCAGGTAAAAGACCAGATCTACAGTGGTAAGGCACATTAATTTACTGCTTAACTCTTTGATGCTGTATTTTTCCCAATAAAATTTGTAGTTCTCACAAAAAGAAGAGAGTTATATGCTAAAAACATTAGGGCAGATACTAAAATCAATTTAAACTCAGTGATAATTTTATGATATTCTTAATTATTTTTTACAGATGCATTAAATAGATCCTCTTCAACTGCACATCTGACATATGCAGACCATTAGTGCATGTTCAAATTTAACCAGAATTATTATAATTTAATGGTCTTCAGTGAACCTCCTCTAACTGAGCTCAAGGATCTGCCCACTGCAAACTTTGCCAATCAATTTATCTGACATTTGGATCTTACTGACCTGAACTTGCTGAGGCTGAGAGACTCACTGCTGATGGCATGGATTGTCATGGACAGTCAGTCTACCAAAGAAAAGAAATAGTTAATGCTGTCCACTGTAATCAAGGAGAAAATAGTTCACGTATCAGAACTCCATTGATGTTTTAGTTCTTTGACAATTAAGGTAACTACTGTTAAAATTCAGTTCAGCTTCACTGTTATAGGTAAGGAGATGCTCCTCACAGGTAACAGTGTCAAGGCAGCTGTTTCAAGCATGTTCACCTGCATAGTCTGGTCCAGGTGAGTTAGTGATAGCAGCTCACAATAAATAGTTTGGGCTACTGAGATTAATACATGTGACTTTTGGTTAAAATTCTGTTAGTCAGCCTCACTGATAAAAAATTCACTGGATTACGGTATTTTTTGATAATCCTTTAAGAAGTCTTAAACTTACACACAAGATGAATGCTGGCTGTCAGGCTGGAGTACAACAGGTTTTTTAATAGTCATTTAAAATGCAGACCTTGACTAGTGAACACTAGTTCAATCATAACACATATTTGTACATTGCACCACTTAAATGTTTTCAGGTTATCAGTACCCACGTCTGTTCTCAGCCTTAATAATTATGATATTAATATAATTCAACCTATTAAATTCAGTAGGGTGTTCAGGATAATACGCACCAATCCCATTATGGACAGTAAAACAACACATTCAGCAAAATAATAAGCATCATTGAACAAAAATACCTACAACTTCCTAAATGTTTACCACCACCCAGGGTCTGCCGTAGTTGGGGACATAGTCCCTTCTCCTAGCAAGGACTTGGAAAGACCCTCCTGGGGAAGGTCTCCAAGTCTCCCTTGAAAAAGGGGGTCCAGTTTTTATAAGATCAAAATTACAATTCAAAATACTTGATTTCATTTTTTAGGAAAGAAACACCTGGGGGGTTTGATGGTATATTTCCCTTGCCAGGCAGGGTCACAGCTTGGCCAGACCCAAGACCTTGGCTGGGAGGTTTTCCCTAACATATCTTAAAAACAAACCTCTATTAATATCTACTGAAAAAGTCTTCTAACATAAATAAGTTATGAATAATCAAAGGAGTGCACACAAGTAACATTAAATACTTTATGGCTGGATCCCAGTATGTGCCAGGCATTGAGTTTAAACCTTAGCAAAAATACACATTTAAAAAACAAGATGATGTTCAGATTTTGATTTCAATTTTGTCATATGTTACTAAATTTTGCAAATGTGTCATCAATATACTTAACAACATCCCTCTCAAGAATCTGCAGCTGACATAGTCTTACACCAATTCCAAAATGGCACCCTTAAAAAACATTAGCTTATTTCTATGTGGGTAAAGCTTAAAACTAATTAGCAGAATTAAACACCAGGATCTTCAGAAGTCACTTCCATGCATAGCTAAATGCTGCAAAATAATTTCTAATTTACTAAAGCAGATTTTCATTAGAGTTGTGTAGGTAAAAGTCTAGGTAATTTTTGTTAGTTCAGAGTTTAAACCAGTATCAAAGAAGATTTGGCAAACATCAATAATATTTAACAACTCACAGACATGGTCCTTAAATTCCCTAATGGCAGGAATTTCAAAATTTAGCTGAGCAAGCTGTCGGTTGTTTTTGCATTTTTCTAATGCTGGGAACTTCCTGGCTATGAATTTTTATGGTAATCACTTGTCTTGCTGTGTCTGATTATCAATTCTTTGGAAGACATCACCAAAGGAGCCTTCCTCAATGAGTCCCAACTCGTTATCCAATTCCGGGTCTGCCCTGCACGCTGAGCACCCACACCACCAGAGGTGAGCAGGCCACAGTGGGGCTGCAGCAGCCAGGAAGGAGCCACCCACCACTCCCCACAGCTGCACTGTCCATGCCCCATGCCCTGCTCCCAGCACGGGGCTGGCTGCTCGGGGCCCCCCCAGGACTGTCGCTCTTGGCGTGGCCGCAATTGGTTCAGAGCTCTGCATCGGGCTCCTTCCAAGTCTTTAATAATGTTGGCAAGAGAGATTCCACCACTTCCCTGGGAAAGCTATTTGTATGATTCATATGATTAATTCTTAATTAATCTCACACTGACTTTCTTTTTATTTGGATGGTATTCCCCTAGAGCAACCTGTGCCCACTGCCTTTTCTGTCATTGTATAAACCATTATAAATACAGTATCTTTCTCTGAATATTCCTGGCACAGGAAGACCAGTTATGTCTCCACTTTCAACAACCTCCAAACCTCTAATCATGTTATGCTGGCTAATGAAGTGCTGAGCAGAATAAGCACATGCCTTGATCCAATGATTCTCTTCCTGATGCAGTCCATGACACTGTTTGCCTTCTTTTACACCGTATTCTACCACTAGCTCATATTAAGTTTGCTGTCCCCTAGAACCCACAAGTGCTTTGCAGCAGAGCTATACCTCAGCCAATGTGTTCCCAGCTATTCTGACACTAAGTTTATTCCATTTGAGATGCCGTTCCTATTTATTTTTGTTAAAATTCATGCAATTCTTGTTGGTCCAATTTTTCAGCCTCTCAAGGTTTCTCAGAACAAATGGTGGCTCCTCCTTCCCAGACGTCTCCCTCTCCTTCCACTTTAAAGTCATCTGCAAACTCAGGGATGGTTCAGTCCTATCATTAAAATATTTACAAATATACTGAATCGCACTACCAGACCCAGCACCAACTTTCAAGGAACTCCACTTCAAGGACCACGAATATTTTGACTTTCAGCCACTAACATCACACTGCCCTATGATCTCTAGAGACGCGACACCTTTCAAAATCCATACGTCTAAATTGTAACTTACCAACTTGTCTACAGGAATGCTGGGGTGAACATGTCAAGTGCCTTTTTAAATTCAAGGTACAGAGCATCTATAACTCTTCTTTCATCCACAGAAAAAGTGGTTTCAACAGAAAGCATCATGCTTGTAAAGTACAATTCACCCTTAATAAATCTGAGCTCAGTTTTCCCAGCCATTTTCTTTCTTGTTTTTCACATTCTTGGAAAAAACTTCCACAAACACTTGTTCCACAACTTTCCCCAAAAATGTAGTGAGACTGAAAGCTTTGCATTTTCCCAAATTTTCACTTCTGTAGATGGGTAGAATATTTGACTTTCCAGACACTTAAGCCTTCAATGACCTTTCAAATAAGATAGATGGTTGACCAATTCAGATGCATCCCACCAAATCCTGTTCATATGTATGTGTCCAACTGCTACAGCTGGATCTTTACTTAGTCCTACTCTAACAGTGTTTTGCTGTTAACTTTGCTGCTCCTTCTTGGCATAGAAACTTGGGACCTGAACTTTCCCATGCAGACGAAGGCAAAGAGAAAATTGAATACTTCTACCTTTACTGTGTTGTCCATAATTAAGCTGTCAGACCCATGCAGCAGTAGACCTACATCTTCCTTGATCTTATGTTTAGTACTAACATACCTACAGGTTTTTTTGTTACTCTCGTCACCTGCCAGTTCAAACTCCATCTGAGCTTCTCCCATCCTAAACATATTTCTACATAACTGAGCACTTTGGAAGTCTGTCCCATTTTCCAAGGTATAAACATATAAATATAAAAATCCAAAAATATAAAAAGGATATTCAAGAGATTAGAATATAAGATTTTTTTTCACAATAAAAATGAATATTGAAATCTAAGTGTTTAAAAGGGAAAGAGTGCACTAAAAAAACTTAGAACGTACTGAGTATTCTATATTGTATTCCTAAATATTTTCAAGATTTTAGATTCAAACTGACTCTCCCAATACTTTTAAATCACTTACTATCTCAGAATATTAAGAAATGAAATATCTTTTCAGAGAGATCTGAAAGTTAAGGACAAAAAGTGAAAAAACATACTAAAATATCTACCAAAAAAAGAACTCCTAGCAACTTGCTTCTGAGGATCAGCTTCTTTTAGGAGTACTACTGAAAAGGAAGATCTTACAAAGCAGTACAACTTACTCTACATTTTCTGTGCTCTGAGATCTTATATTTAGATTTGAAATCAAATGTGCATGTAACATGTAAAATTTATATCAAAATATCATTTCCTCAAACAACAATCTGTAAAATAATAATGTATTGTTAAGACCTGGCTTTGCATAACTTTTTGTTTGGTTTTGTTTTGTTTTCTAATTCCTTAAGGATTGATTAAAAAATAAGATTCACATTGCTGCAGAGTACCTTGAAACTTTTTAATGAGGAAAGAATCTCACAACATTTATTCTAAATTTCTTCAAACTCTCACATGTTCTCATACTTAATTTTTCCTTTATATTTATTTCTTAATTTGAAGTTAAACAGACATGAACACCACTTCTATGTAGCAAATGTGACTTGGGTCTCTACATTTTAGTGCATTTCTGTTGTGGTTTAAACCAAGTTGGCACCTAAGTATTCCATACAGCCACGCACTCATTCCACCTCCCATGTCAGTGTGATGGGAATGAGAATCAGGAAAAGAGTTGAGATAAGAACGATTTAATAATGAGAGTAAAATATGAATAATCATTTTCATAATGACAACAACAGCAGCAACCGATATAACAAAACAGAGAGAGAAAAATGAAAGCCAAGGAAAAAAGCCACATGATGTATAATAGGCACTACTCGCCCCACCTGCCTCCCTACAGCAATCAGCAGTGCTCAGCCAAATGCTCCCAGTTTATAAACTGGGCATGATATCCCATGGTAGGAAATATCCCTTTAGCCAGTTTGGGTCAGCTGTCCTGGCTGTGATCCCTCTCAGCTTCTTGTGCACCTGCAAAGCCTTTGGCTTAGGGTAAGCACTACTTAGCAACAACCAAAACATCGGTGAGTTGTCAACATTATTCTCATACTGAATCCAAACAACAGCACTGCAACAGCTACTAAGAAGAAAAATAACAAAAAACACGTAATGATTCCAACAAAGGTAGGAGACAAAAAACACAATGGCAAAGAAATCAGTAATACACCACAGAATATTAAGCAAGTGCTTAAAATCTCATAGGAAATGGAATGGAGAACTTCAAAAGTTACATAGAAGTATGTGGAACTCAATTTTCCACATGCACAAAATTCTTAGAAAGTCAGCAACTAGCAAAGATCCAAAATTATTTGAAACTAATATAAGTAAGGGCACGTATGTTCATGGGCACTAGGAAGATATTTGAGTATGCAACACATATGGAACCAAAAAAGCAAAACCAGACAGTAACACAAGATTCAGCTTTAACAGTGAATTCATATACTAAGATCAGGTTCTGAAGTGCCAAAAAGCTATAAACAAACAGTCGCTGGCTGAAAACACAGCCCTTGGCCCTATGCCTATCTAATTGGGTTATGTCTCAGCCTTTGGTACTGTTACACAAACATACTAAGGAGATTATAACATATTTTTCATAATTGCCTCTTAAATATCACTTTATCTAAGAAATTAGTTCACAATATATGGTTAAAGTATTTTTCATAACTTAAGAGAAAGCCCTTTCATAACTTAAGAGTAAACACCTCCTTTCAGTTGTAGCCATTTGCTTTACTTAAGAACAACCACCAATCCTGCTGCACACCTGTACAGACACAAATTTTTGTAAACATCACTTGAACTGCATACAAAGGAAAATGCATTTACATATAATGATAATAAAAAAGCAAGTTGTATTGTAAATTTCAAAACAAAATGGGAAAGATGCTCACTGCAGTATTTTAGTGGACAGAAAAACAGTTTGGCATGAAGGCTGCCACATATATTTCCATAAGAAAGCAATTTAAATTAATAAAACCCATTTTTTTCATTATATTCCTGAAGTTATCTAAATGCAGATATATGATTTTTAAGCCAAAGTGGATATTGATATTCTTCCATGTAAGATTGGCTATCATAATTTATTATGATATCTGCAGTTTTTGCATATATGCCCTCTGTGTTATAGAAACATTCCTGAGAACCATCCAACTGTGAAAAACAAACAAAACGTCTGCAACTCCTATATATTTAAGCCTGTGGCAAGATGCCAGTCCTAAACATTCCCTGTGGTAAAATGGCAGCACTATAGCTCCACTGTAAGTTATCTTACATATCTTGCAATAATTTACATGTAGATCAGCATATTTAAAGCACTATCTGCTGTATCAGTTCTCTTAAATAGGATATTTCAAAGGTACAGCTTCAGAGATTGAGGAGGAGGGGTCGTCTATTTTTTTTTTCCTTTAAACTCTTGAATTTTGAGGCTTTCTGAAAGGCTGAGGTGATATTTCACACAGGATTCCACCTAAAATCCAGGAGTCCTGAATATAAACACCTAATTGCATATTTAAAGGGTCGACAATCTTCTTCCAACACCTATGCAAATTAAGATCAGCCACAGATTAAAGTCAGCTAGCTATTTTTCCATCCTGTGCATCCAGCTCTAAATTTAGACACATACAGCAATATTCCTCCTGCTAACCTCTTCAGCTGAAAAAAAAAAAAAAAAAAAAAAAAAAAAAGACAGTTTACACCTCACACATATTTCCTGATCTCATCTTCCTTTGCAGAAGCAAGGAAAAAAAGAATCATTATAAAGACACAAACCTCATCTCTTAAAAATAAAGTCAATTTTTTTCCAAACACCAATCAGCTTTCTCTGTGAAACTTTCATCATCCAGTCCCTATTCTCTTACAGTTCTTACTACAACAGGACTTCCTAAAGTTTCCTCCATGAAACATGAAAAAGACCAGTTGTGCTGCTTTTGGCTGGGGTAGAGTTAATTTCTTTTCTTTTCAGCTGGAATGGGGCTGCGTTTTGGATTTGTGCTGAGCACATAGTTGATAATACAGAGATGTTCTTGTTATTGCTGAGCAGGGCTTGCACAGAGCCAAGGCCTTTTCTGCTTTTCATACTGCTATGCTGGTGAGGAGACTGAGGGTGCATCAGAAACTGGGATGGAACACAGACAGGACAGGTGACTACAACTGACCAAGGGGATATTCCAGACCATATGACATCATGCTCAGGATATATGCTGTGGTGGAAGGAGGAAAGGAAGAACATTTGGAGTGATGACATTTTTCTTTCTAAGTCACTGTCACACTTGATATGGCTCTGCTCTCCTGCCGAAGGCTGAACACCTGCCAGTCCATGAGAAGTGGTGAATGAATGCCTTGTTTTAGTTTTCTTGTGTTTCTTTTGATTTCCCATTTAAACTCTCTTTATTTAAGTCCATAGGTTTTCTACCTTTTACTCTTCCAATTCACTCTTTTTTTTCCACTGGTGAGAGCACAAGCAAGCAGTTGTGCTTAGCTCCTAGCTGGGGTTTGAACCACAACACCAGTACTGGTGGAAAAGTACGATAACAGGACAGTTACATGTTTCCAAATAGTAAATTAAGACATTATTTTTGATTCTGTACTAAGTCTCAGTTCTGGTTTCTGTCAGGCAGGCCAATAAATCAGGACTACCAGAAGACCAGCACAAAGGTCGCATAAGTTTTGATTCTCAGATGGTACAGAATCAATGGAGAAGATCCAGAAAGAGCAAATGGTGGTAGCAGTAGTGAACATCAACTGGTAAGTTGCTAGGAGCCCCAACCATGGGCCTTGAAAACAACCAAATCATGACAAACTGGTGTGCTTCAAGCTTAGAGTAGTATCTTATAAAATATCCCAGCTACAGGACAAGATCATGTGTTTACAACTCACATAATGGTAAAGATAAATATCAGCATTTAATAAAAAACAATGCATGTTGCAATCATGCATCACGGAGCTTTTTCTTAAAAAAAAAAAAAAAAAAAAGTAAAGCTTTTTCCTACAACACTTGTATTTCTACATTATTTCCACAACAAGCATTACAGAAGTACTACTTCTTTAGACATTGTGGTAGTCTGAAAATTCAACTTCAACTTCCCCAAACAACTTTTCATTTTCAAATTCAGCCTTCACTAGGTGAACTTCTATATTAAACAAAACTGAATTTTTAAATAGCAAAGTTTCAGTTCAAATTCAGTTTAAATTCTGAACTGAATTCAGAATAGCAAAGTTCAAGCTAGACAACCATAACAGCTGTATTTTTACCCTACTCTTTACCTTCAAATTAATGGTGTAATTATTACTTGTGATTTCTATTAATACTACATCTTCGAAAACAAAATCCTCTGAAGAGATCAGCACCAAAGTTGTTTTTTTAAACCAAAAAATTGAACTAATTTATTTAATAGAAAATCATATATGGCAATTCTAACACTACCACTGAAAAAAATAGCATTGATGTAGTACCACATCTAATTCGTATAAATTGCAGTAGTCTGCTAACATCTAATCCCTGTAATAACAACTGACACACAGTTTTCTACCATCTGATTCACAAGAAAACATTCCCAAAACTTGCTAATGGTGAGACTCTTAATCTTTCTTCTCAAACCTTAAATTAATATTCAGACCAAATATTCTTAGTAAATACTACTAAGTCTTTAAACTCAAAAAAAAATGATGAACACATCCAAAATTCTCAGCAACCTGTTTGCTCCACTTTGATTTCTAGTAAATTCAGTAATCAACAGAAAGACATTTCTTAGCACTATCACAGATGACTGACTCAAATATTTTGCATATACTGTACATCTGAGCATGGCAGATATGGGGTTTTAACATTAAAAGGAATCGATACTGATGGGTTTATCTTTTTTTATTAGCAATAAGTACAAAAATAGTTTACTAACAGCACACCCAGTTTTACGAGCTGAAAACAGAGAAGGAGGAAGTGTGCCGTGTGGAACAGAAAAAATTTCTTCTAAAGAAGTCCTAAAGTCAGTATTCTAACATAAATGAATATTTATGAAATTTAAGAAAGAAGGATCTTTTCCTGATAAAAACTATAGTTTGAACTGCTAGATCATTTGAATACAGATAAAGACATGAGTGAAATTATTTTTCTTCATTTTCACTACTTTTCATTCCTTCCCTTGATTTCACAGGCATTACCCTGTGTATTTTTTTTTTTCCCAGTGCTCTGTATTAGTCATGATGGTATATTAGCTGTAAACTTCCCACAAAACTTCCCACAGGTCATGTCATTCAATGACACTGAATTGTCTGCTGCTATGCAGCAAGTGACACTTTCAGTGGAACATTTAAAGAAGCTGGTAAATAATACATATGGTACATGAAAATAAAGAAACCTTCTAAAGAATATCTGCAACAATAATCACATTCTGTCATCCCCAAACTGTTGTCCCCAAATTACAAAATAACCATTCTCTGCACACATCAGACTGCAAAGAAACTTGAAGAAAGACTTGAAGTAATGGCCTCAGAAAGACTGCATGAGGTGAAAGCTGAGTTTGAATACAAACCTTTTCAAGCTACACTAGGTAAGAAGAACACAGATTTTTGTGGGAAAACTCAAATGGGAGAAGAAGCACCGTCTGGGTTAAAGATATAGAGCTCAAATTCAGCCACTCTAGTTCTATTCAGAAAACTTAAATCCTAGACTTTAAAAAAAAAAAAAAAACATTCAAATTGCTGGCATTCCTGCAGAAACATCTCTGACTCAAATTAATACTAGAGCAGCACTTAAGTCTTCCCATTCTACACAGTAAAATGCGTTCTTCTGCATGAAACTAAGGACAAGTAAGTATTTGAGACATGACAAGGAACATCTCTTAATTACCCTTTGTTCACACAAAACTCAGACATAAAAACTGCAGCTGCAATTCTATTTGTCAGTATACCAAGTTAAGCAGTTCACAAGCAGTACTTCCCCTTACTCCCAGTGTCCCCAAAGGCTTCAAACTGACTCAGAAAAGTAAATCAAACAGCTTGCAAATAGCAAAATTTCCCATCCACTGAATATATTTTCAGCACCAATATTACAAGCTGAATTATATTTTCTAAGGACTTGTTATTTTAAAATACTTCACAGATATTTATCTCTTCTATTTATGAAAGACCATCCAATAGACTTGTCAGCAAATTACTTTAGAGAAAGAAAGGAAAAGAAAAGGAGATCCAACATGGGAATATTACTTGCTGTCTGGAGGGATTTAAGAAATTATACAGATGGGTGATATTTGCATCCAGAGCTCAATTATGTAAAAACTATGTCCATCCATATGCATTCAGTAAGTTCAAGCTGGTGGCAAGAACCCCACAAAGAAATCTTAAAATATAAAAAAAATATTACTTTAGATCTAATTTTCTTATATCCTACAAAACCCTGATGCTTCACTATTAATATGAACTACATACATTAGATTGGAAGACGCTGAGGGAAATTGTAGACAACTAATTATCTACATGCTGACAGACAACAGAGAATAGAAATTTTCATTTCCTTGAAGTTGCAAAATAAAGCTTAATTCTAACTAAGAAATTAGATAAAAGAATGTAGAAGCAGACATACAGAACACTAAACTAGTAGCTGAAACCCAGTGGATAAACAGATAATGAGGAACAGAAGTGGTTTTTGTGGCAAAGTTATGTAACCAGAAACAACTGCGCATGACCTAAGAGAAGTTCACTGCAAAGTCATTGCAACATTGGGGGCACCCAGCGAATATAACCACCAGAGATTCCTATGGACAAGCCTCTACGATCATAAAAGGACTTCCAGTAGGATGCTAAAATATGCAAATTAGTTCTAGGAAAAGTGATGTTTATGGATTACCTAGGAAGTATGCTGTAATGAATATGTATGATCACGATGGAATAAATACCCTGTTGTAAAGTTTCATGACGTACATTCAATTAGAGGAAAAATCCTCCAAATGTGTCCAGACCTGCAATAAAGAATGCCTGCTTTCTAATACCTCAGATTGTGTTAGAAGTTCAGTCTCAGCCAACTTCAGTATTAATGCAACTTTTTATCATTAAATACATTTGGAGGAACTGCATTTTGTTACAACAGACAGATCTGACTAGAAGTCACAGCATTTATTTTACTTGTCTTATAAATTTGGTGCAAGACAACAACAGAGTTGCCCAATCTGTATAAAAAGAAGCACCCATGTATTCCCATTATTTAATCACACACATGGAATCAGTGCTTAACAAGGAAAAAACTAAAAATGTTACAAGGAGAAAATCAAAATAGAAACTTCAGAATTTCTTCATTTTCATATTACCTGTACTACTTTTAAAAATACATTTTTAATGTTTTCATAAATTTTAAATGTTCAAAACAAATGTCCATAGATTGCACATTAAAAAAAAAAATCTACATATAAAATTCAAACCATTTTCACTATGTACAGGTCTCTACATTTTCCTACATAACTCCATGAACATGTTATAATGGTGATGTTACACATGCATATATATATGCAACTCCATACTCCATTTATGTAAATTCAGTTGCTTTTTTCTCCTTCAGCTTTCAGGAGCTACACATTTAATTTAGATGCTACAAAAAAAAAAAACCTTTTACTGCAGTAAATATCCAACAAAGGTATTCTTAAAGTAAACAAGTGTCAGCTGCAGGCCAAGACGAGAGTAAAAAATTTTAATTATTGAAAGTTTATCTTCATATTTGTGGCAATTAACATACATATATATAACTGCATTGTGTCCAATTCTATGCCATTTATAAAAGTAGATGTGAAACTGTCCTAAGATGAAAATGTTATAGATTCAGATACATCTAAGTACTTCTGCTATATGTCACTTTTATTCACTCTTTTCAAAAGCAAATGGAAAAGAATTCTTTACCATGTAATAACTATTTTTGCCATGTGTTGCGCACATGTATTCTATTTCCAGCACACTACCACCAAGCACATGAGATCAGATTATTTTTGCCAGCAGGTTTTCTCTGCCAAGGATATAAACGGCTAAGCAGGCTCAGTTCCCTCACCAATAAAGAAATCAGGTGCCATAGGCACTTAGTACTCCAGAAAAAAGTGTTACTTAGCTCATACAATGCACTGTGACAATCTGCCTCAGAAAATTGTGAAGAAAACTAGCATACTTTCTTCACAAATCAACATGAAAAATATCTGCAGATGTGAAATGAGCATTTCAAATGGAAGTGACTACTCAATTTGACTTAGTATTTATGGAAGAGACCTGGACCTTAGACACTGCAGCGGAAAGTCAAATATTCAGAGGTACATAGTAGAATCAAAGAGGAATTAAGTTCCTCATGTAAGAACAAATGCATTCACCAGGGCAGCACCAAATTTATCTTATCAATTTAGTATTGTCAGAGCTAATCAATAATCTGTAACTTCCTGTTAAAATGATCTTCACATGGTTTTAGTCCCTTTAAAACCATAAAGTTTTAAACCATTTAAACCATTAAATCATAGATGAGTGAGTTTAAGATCTGAAAAAAATATTGATCCACAAGCATGCTATTGCTCTCTTTTTAACTAAGATTTGAACAGTGAAAATTACATTAACTAATGTGGCTAGCCTCCACCATAATCATGTCAAAACGGCTCTTGTATCATGAAATCAGAGAATTGTTTAGACTGAAAGAGACCTTCAGGATCATGAAGTCCAATAATTTACCTTGCCCATGTCCCTAAGTGTGATAGCTACACATCTTTTAAATACATCCAGGGATCTTGTTGGGACTCAGTCAATTCACTCAACTCCCCTACTAACCCGTTACAATCATCAAACCATGAACAACATGCTATTACAAAAAGACAGAATTCTACCTAATACAATTCTCTGTATTTTCCAGGCAATTATGTAAAACTCTATTTCAAAATATTCAAAGGTGTCTTGGAAATCTAAAAATGTATTTATTACAAAAAGTGAAAGAATTTGAAAAGATGAAGTTCCTGGATTGTCTTAAGGCCAGTTATGATACTAACCCAGCTCTCAAAATATCTGATAAGAAGAAAAAAAAAAGTGAAAAATTTGATGTTTTCAATCTTAAATATAGACAATTTTTTCTCTATTCCAAGATTTGAAATGAAAAGCTTAAAGCTAAACCACATTGCTAATGAAGATCCAAAAGAAAGACAGACAAACAATATTTTGTGAATCAGGAATATATCCCAAATTCATGATCCAATACCTAATATTCTTAAGGTGCTACAATTCCAGACTCCAAAAAAAAAAATGCAATGTGAAGCAGTGAGAATAACAATACCCATAAATCATCTCAGAATTTCTCTAACTGCTAACCATGAAGGGCTAGAAGTACAGAAAGAATCTTTTTCCAAAACCCAGGTTTTGGTTTAAAAAAAGCTAAGGAGTACCTCATTAAACACTAAGTTCTTAACTAAGAATTCACCACTGTGTTCTGAAAATAGAATGGGGGAAAAGAATAACCCTCTAGGGCTGTAACACCTGTCAAATAGGCTTAAAGTGACTTCAAGCATCCCTCTACCAAAACTAAAACAAGTACAGTAAAAGGTTGGTATTCATAACCATACAGGATATTTTTGGAACTAATCCTGCTAATGATTCCAGATTTCATTTTTCATGTCACGCAAAGCCATAGTTTTGTACTGCTTGACTCTGGATACCAGGTAAGCCCCCATTCAGTTGCTTTTCCACTGCACAGCAGGATGGAGAAATGAAAAGAACCATACAAGCAGAGGGGAGGGAGACCTTGCAGGTTGAGATAAAGGCAATTTAGTAAGTACAAAGGGAAAAAACAAGAAAACAAATTATGCAAAAGCAGTCATTCCCCACCAGCAGACCAATGTCTCTCCAGTCCTGAACACGGTCTATTTTGGAAAAACAACTACCCAAGTTTACCACTGAGTATGATGTCATGTTATGGAATATCCCCCTCCTCAATTCACATTGTGCCAGCTGTGCCTTGCCCCAGCCTCCTGCTTACCCTCAGCTGACTGCCTGGCACAGTGAGAAGCATAGTGGACCTTGATGTTGTGCAAGAACCATTCAGTGACAACTATGAAACACTGGTGTCTTTTCAACACTGTTCTGGTCACCAATCCATAACAGCACCATATGGGCTGCTACATGAGACATGAACTCTAAACATGCCCAGTACAAGTTTTGAAGATAAGACCACTAGTAATTAATGCATTTTTTGGTGCACATATAAACCACAGAGGGAAAAACTCATATACTTCAAAATAGCTACGGACAGATACAGAAATCTAAAAGCTGATATATACAAGGATATCAGAGGACTCATCTGAACTGCCCTGTGACTTCAAAGAGCTTAAAGATACCAACAATGACTACATAGTTATTCCTGTAGATTTAGATATCAAATTAACAATATTTAATACACCTGCAGGTCACAGACTATAGCTTGCTTAAAGATGACAAATTATACCCCAATACAAATTTTTCTGAACAGGAGAATCTCAGGAAGACTTTACTCACTTCCATGGAAACAAAACTGTTCAAATACAGCATCCAGTCCACTAGTCTACCTTACCAAACAAAAGACTTAGCAGCACAGAATTCCAGAGTCCTCTCTCTTTGATCCACACACAAACATCAGAAGCTGTTTTCAAACATCAGAAGCAGGTTTCCAGTTAAGTCTTTCTTTACAATCGTCAAGTTCATCTACACATCTCTAACATGTAAGCAATTACAGGAATTTCTTACATGGTGTCACGTATGCCTACAGTCTTCTAATTACATGCTTCAACAATACAAGATAAAAAAGGAGGAAAAAAAAAAGCATGATGCATGTGAGTACCTATACATGAAATTCAATGCAACTCCCAAGCACTCCAAGGACTATATTCCAAAACTCAAATCCAACTGTAGCAACTATATGAAACAGAGGAATTTATCTACTCGTACAACCTAGGAAATATAGGTTTGGATAGATCTTAAAAAAATAGTATAAAAAAAACCTTTTTTTAATCAAAAATGAAAGGCATTGCACTTGCAGCACATACACAGCCATTAAAGATACATTCCCAAGCAGCAAAAACTGCAACAAGCCAGTGACATCACCAAAGACATCGGAGGAGCAAACTCTTGAGAAATATATTTTAAAAAAAACCCAAACAAATACAAAGGAAAATCCTTTGATTATTCCCAAAATATTTACATAAATTATTTTAAATATTTTATATCCAGAAAGCACAGCCTCTTTATAAGAGCAAATGGAGAAACAAGTGGTCCAACCTTCTAGGGCCACTGCAGAACACAGTTTTCCCAATATAAAATCTGCTGCATCATATGGTATCTTTTCCATTTAAATTTATAGTCTGTTCTGGTATAGCCACTCCAGAAAATATTTCACTGTTTGAAAACTCATTATAGCTATATAAGTAAGATCTGTATGTGTTTTTCACTGTTCTAGGTAGTCAGGAGAGGTACTCCAGTGAGGTATCTTCCACTGCTTCATAATCATCAAGATGTCGCTTTTATTTAAATTCTGGGATATGCTGAAGTTGCATATCCCAGATATTCATGGTTCCTGCCTGTGTCAAGTTTGGACAACAAGTCACTACAAATGTCTGCTCTGGAGACTTTTTATTATTTCTGTAACAATCCAAAAGATCTAGAGCATTGCATCAATTTCAAGCATTGCAGGAAACTTCAGTTCTCCAGCTGTTCAGGATCAGACATGATTTACTTATTTGTAAGCTATATGGTTATACTTATTTTCATTAATTAAATGACTTTCAGTAATTTGGTTATAAAAGTCTTAGCTCTAAAGTTAGACTCCAATCCTTAATTTACCATTATAAAAAGTAAGTTACATCTCCAAAATTTTTACTCAACATAATATAAACAAGATGTAGGAAGGCAACCCAGCTGTTTTTCCTTCAGACATTTGTCTCCCTATGTTTTCTGTACAACTACTCAGAGACTACCCTGAGCATGATCCTGACTGCCATATACAGAGTCCAAACAAAAAAAAATATGTTATCACCAGTATATTTATTTGTAACTACTTCTCCAGACATAAAAAATTACTTTTACCATATATTTCAATTTAACAATTTTAGGCATTCAATTTGATCAATTTTTTTCCATGCTTTTATAATTTTTCATAGCTTTAGGAAAGTCATTCCCTTTCTTGTTACTCTCCTCTAGATAAAGAACTAACCAAATAGCACTACCTCAGAAATATATCTATGACCTAGAACTTAATATTTTTAGCATTTTAGGTGGCTATCACTGATAAAAAAAATATTTCTATAAAATACCACATTAATTGTGTGCATTTGTTGTAATGGACTAAAAGCCTAAGGCAATTTGCTAAACTTCTAAAAAAGATTTTTTTTTTAATATATTTTTTAATCAGCAGGTAAAACACACTCACTATATTCTCCAGTAGCCAAAGATACACTTTAATCCTGCTTGTATACTTCCCAGAACACATAAACCAGCTGAATGACACCAAATATAGTATAACCTTCTGCTGCTCAAAATGAGTTCTAAAGACAGATATCCATCTCATAAATAATCCCAGTTAATAATCACATTTCCAGTGACTGAAGTAGGTGCTGTATTTCTACATAACTGTGTTACAGAGTCCAGCCTTTGGTATATCCAGAGAACCAACTCAGACAGATTTGGATCTTTTTAGTCAATTTTAAGTAATAGCATGGATCTCAAATTCAAGATGGCTTCAATCTTATTGAGGAAGGAAAAAGAATGCTTGTATCATTAGAATAAATAAACTTTTACATTTCCATTTTTTTAACAGATGTCACAAGCCACAGAAGAGAAGGAATGGTCAGATGTTGTTTCCCCAGCTTGAAAAAGCAAATCTCAAAAGTGCATCAATCAAGGAAAAATACTGCTAAAAAGATGACTCTCTAGCTGGAGCCCACAATTTATCTTTCACTAATGGCCTGCTCTTAAATTTATTTTTTTATTTGTGTGCACAAATCACAGTAAGCTACGGTCTACAGCTTAATCAAGACCAAAAAAGGAAGAAAAACAGCATAGAAATATCCACAACTAGCATTACAGCTATCGAATTACCAGAAGCTTTTTTTTCTTCAAAGCTTTATGCTATGGTAATATTAGCTATGAATTAAGTTGTCTTTTACTTCACTAGGCCCTTAGAAATCTTTGACACAGGAGACAAGTACATGCTGGTTGAAAGTACTTTCAATTAAAAATGTCTGTATTCAGTGAAACAATGGAATCCCTCTCAGACAGAAACACAGTATTTCTATAAATTGCTCCTAATAGTAAAGGAGTAACTAAACTGAAGTTGTCATTAGAGAACTTCATAACTAGAGAAGGACAAACAGTATTTCATACACAAGTCTTTAGAGCACACAAGGTAGGAAGACTGAGTCATCTAAACAGAAGCCATACACAAGCCTTAAGAAAAAAATCCTGCCCCTCAAGTTAGGAATAGAAAAAATAACCAAGAAGTTATAGATTTAGTCTTTTCTGTTGAAGTTATTCCTCTTTAACTTCTGAACCATACTTATTACACAGCTCTGGTCACTATTCACTCAACTGGAGAAAAATCTTCCTGACTACTGTTACTTTAGACCATTTTTACACAAGTTCCTGTGAGACTTTATGTAACCAATCCGCCCTCAATTCATAGCTCTTCAAGAATAAAGGTCTTCCCTCAATCTTACTTTGAAAAATCCATAATAACTGGATGTATAGGTTAACGTCGGCTCTCTGCCAATTCCTCTCTTCAGTAAGACAGGGAAGAAAATACAATTAAAAGCTCGTGGATCAAGATAAAGACAGGGAGATCACTCACTTGCTACCATAATGCAAAAAACAGACTGGACTTAGGAAAGATAAATTTAATTTATTGCCAATAAAAGGTAGACAGTGAGAAACAAAAACCAAAATTAATCCATCTTCCCCCCACCATTCTTCCTTCCTTTTTTGCTGGTTTAACTTTGTTACTAACTTCCCTACCCCTCCCCACCACTGTGCAGAGCAAACGGGAGGGGGAATGGGGCTTGTAATTCAACCATAACACTTCATCCCTGACACTCTTCCCTCCTCACTCTTTTATCCTGATCCAGCATCCAATCTCTCCCCCACAACACAGTCTTTCCCAGGACTTCCCACAGAAAACACAGTTCTTCAGGAACTGCTTCAGTGTGGTCCTTTCCACAGGGCACAGGCCTTTAGAAACAGACTTCTGCAGCATGGGTCCCCCACGGGCCACAACTGCCAGAGCATCTGGTCCTGTACAGGCTGCTCTCCCACAGGTCACAGCTCTGCCAGGACCCTGCTCCTGACTGGGCTCTTCATGGGCTGCAGCCTTCATCAGGATGTGTGCACCTGCTTCGGCATGGGGTTCCTCATGGCCTGCAGTGTGGACATCTGCTCCAGACTGGTCCTCCATGAGCTCCAGGATGACAACCTGCTTTGACAAGGTCTTGTCTTTGGGCTGCAAGGGAACCCCTGCTTTGGCACTTGAAGCACCTCCTCCCCTTCCTTGCTGCTGATCTGGGGGTCTGCAGGGCTGTTCCTCTTCCATTTTTTTCCCACTCCTCTCTCATGGCTGCTGCACATGGTTCTTTACAATTTCTAATATATATGTTGTCACTGAGGTGCCACCAGCATCTCTTAAAGACTCAGCATTGGGGAGTCATGGGTCTATTTTGGAAATGGCTGCAGCTTGCTCTGTCAAGTACCAGGATAGCTCCTAGTCTTTTCTCAGAGAGGCCCACGTGAACTAAATACATGAATTTAAAAGCTCTAGTCCCAACTGGAGAAAAACTTTCAGAAAGCTGAACAAATGAAAACCAAATTCTATCATCTTCTCAAGTAAGGCATTGCACCAACCAATAAGAAGACAAACAACTGATTCTTAGCTTAAAATTTCCTAGTTGATTAGATGCTGATTTGAAGACTGCACTGTTGAGCACAGTACCACCCAATTTCCTATCATATTCCTCGTGCCTGCTTCTTCATCAGGAATGGATCAGTCTTCTGTAAATCAAAAAAAATGAACATTGTTAGATTTTCATATTCTTACTGAAAAACCTCCTGGAAAAATTCCTTTTTGCATTTTTTAGCTCTGAAAAAGTCCTCTGTCATTCCAATTACTTCTGAAATTTAGCATGTGTTGTCAGGTAGTAGAGGAGCATTTGGAGTTAGATGACTAAGGTACTTCCAAAAGAAAGGTACTTAAACTGGTACTTAAAATGGTTTTTCTTACTCGGATTTTTTTCTGTATATAGACTAGAGGATCCCACCACAATCCTAACTGCACTCTCGACTGGCTCAGTTATTCAACACGTTCTTTAGGAAATAATGACAGGAATTAATAATTCCAGAAAGACAACATCAAAATTAGGAAGCAAAATCATCTACCTCAGACAAAGCAAGATGTAGAACCCAAATGTAACAGGTGACTGTGCACACTCACAAGACAGAGCTGCCACATGGCTGACCAACCTAACATATTTCATGTCACCGATGATGTCCTAGGAGAAATGCAACTGTTGTTGAGTCCAATAGTCTACAAGCAGCTAACAGCACTTGGAGTCTGAACACTGGTGAAAACTTGGAATGAGAAAGAGGAAAGAACCTAGCTACAGTCTACATCATAAAGCATTTATTGTGGGGAATGAAAGGTACATGCAGCAACAGAAATATTCAGAAGACACTAAAATATTTTCATGTGTGATCTGAAAGCTTAAGAGGGAAGAGTGGAGTAATACACAAAGTCTTTTCTCAGTTTCTGGTGCAGGAGCTGAAATCTGGAGAACCAAATATGGTCTGGTAAAGTATACACTCCTCCTTGCTTACGTAACAGAAACTGCAAGAAAAAAGGAGATTACACCCACAGCAATACCTCCCTACTACTTCTGCTAGTTCTATAAAAGTAAGAGTAGGTCAAGTATTTGAGAGCTATTATGAAACTCCTCTACTCCTCCATATCAAAACCTCCTAAACAAAGAAGTCCTCAAGGATCTGCTCTACCAGGCTTGTCTGCTTCATAAACTTCTGTCAGAAAAACTGCACCAGCTGGAAGTGGCAGCCGTGAATCGAACTCCATATAGCCAATTCAGCTCTGATGGAAACAAAATTTTGATGTAGACAAATTATGCCAACAGGAAAAGCATTTGGGTTGGCTTTACTCATACCACAGATTCAAATAGTGAATTTTTTCTGGCACAGAGATTTCTTCTGCTTTTCCAAGAAGGGACTTTATTGGCCAAGCTGCACTAACTTTTAGGTCAAAGTGGTTTAAAGAGCTCAAATACCAAAATTTTTCAAACTATCTTGAAAGCCTGTTACAACAACAGCAAAAAGTTAACTGTCTGTATTCTGATATGTCTCAAAGATTTTTGAAATAAGGTCTCCAAGGAACATTTTTCAAATATGTTAAATAAAAATTGTTCCAAAGCTTGCTCTCTTTGTATGCACACATATACAAAGCAAATAACCCATCATCCTCACAACCTCTATTTCATATAGTCGAGCTCGTTTTGCAAAAACAATACTGAAGACAAACAGTTCTAAACAATTAAACTCTAAACACAGTCACCACAAAAGTCTCAAGAAGTTACAAGGGAAAGCTCTCCTAACTCTCTCATGCAAATCAAAATCCAGAAGCAGCGTCTTCCTCTAGTCCGTTTCTCCTTTAGGAGATAGTAGGATTTTTCTCAAATGCAGGGAAACTGACAACAACTCGCATGTGGATTTTTAAGAGAAATTATCTCTGACTGGACTCAGACAGAAAGAGTTAAGCAAATGTCTTGGTTGTTCAGGCACCAGAGGTACTATTCTGAATGGTAAAATGATAGCAAAGGGTTTTATTTATTAGCATGAGCTGCAAATGGAACCAACAGACTATGGGCCAGTAAGTTACTACCTGAGACAAATACATGAAGAATATATTTTTTTTAATGCCTTCTTGACCAGACACGAAAAGAGGGATGGAAGAACATGACATTACCAAGAAAAACAACAATACAAGGAACAGCAAGCAAAAAGTTAGAAGGAAAATAATATAATCAGAATCTGTGGTTTTCATCAATATAATCATCAACACATAAAACTGTTTAAAAGGAAAGATTATTACTTGATCCCATAGTTTTCAATTGCAAAATATAGCATAATCCCTATTTCACTACATCAAACTTACTGACAAGAGTGGGTGAGATGGGAAAAAACAGAAGAAAGCAGGAGACCTAGAAACATGCAGCAGTCTTCAGCTTCAGCAAAAACATATCCAAAAGTAGAATTCTATAATAACTAGAAATTATATAAATATTGTCTCAGCTTTTATTCAAAGCCTTAGAAAACTGAACAACAAAAGCTTTAAGGTGCAATTTCAGCTTGTTCAGTTCTTGGGACCAAAGCCATACCCAAATACTCTCTGAAAACAAAAAAACTACTCTTGAAGTATTCTATTTGTACCTTTTTTTTGACCTCATGTAGTCAAAATCAGAAGAAGCTCTAAGACTGTTTCCAGAATGACTCTGATTGAGCAGTGAGGTTGGACCAGATTACCTCACTGAAATCTCTTCCAACCTTATCCATTCTGCAAACACACCAACACAAAATTAGATTTTGCAACAACTTGTGGACACTGCCTCCTCTCTTCCTCACAACACTGTATCACCCAACACTATTATGCAGACTTACTTCTAGAAGTATTTTGAGGATGAAAAAAGCCTAAAAATCTGCTCAGAAAAAGTACCTCAGCAATATCACTAATATACATATGTCAAAATTATATTAATAATGAACAATCAAGCTATTCAAACTGTCTATGTGAATGTAATCTGGCTCCTTGTGTGAACTCAGTACAACCCATGATTACTTGACCACAGACATTTTACCAACAGGACATCGGCCTTATTCCATGCATAAGCCTATGCCTTCCTAAATAATGGAACATTGTCAGGAAATAAAAAGACTCCTTTACAGACTTACCTACTTTGGCTGCAGAATGGTGCAAGTACACAGCTTTGACTTACATAGGCCAGGACTGGTCATACATGTTGACTTCAGAAAGACCAATACTTTACTTATTTGATTTCAGATGTAGTAAGAAAGGAGTCAAGAAGTGACTCAGTGCCAGAGCATTTTTAATGGTAGCACAAGAAACCCTTACAGACATAATTACTCTAAGACATAGCCTATACATAATCATAGACACCCTTAACCCCAGATATGCAAGGCTTTGATTTCTGGGCATCCCTTTTGATCAGTGCTAGAGCATTAATGAGGAGCTTTCCACACCCATGGATGCATAAAGTATTAAAAAGAAGACACAAAGAAAAGAGTAGGTAAAGACTCAAAGCGAATTTTTATGCAGAAATGAAAGGATATGACTTCTGGCACATCTTTACATTCCTTTATAGAATTCTATTTTTGTCCCACTCCAATTTCACCATGTGAAAATACCATAATTTGAAATCATACCCAAATCTATATCAGTCATCAAAAGAGTTTAAATATTTTAATCATCCACACTGCTATTTTGAGAAAAATGGTTGTATGTCATGTTTTGTGGACTAGGCCTTAGAAGGAAACAAGACACTTGGCTTGTGGCTTTCACAGATATGTGTTGATAGCTAAGGAATGGCAGGATTTAATGATCTTGGACTGCATTCCACACATAAAAGAGAACTACATTCTAGGACAAAGTTTCCCAATACACAGGCTGTAAAACATCAGATGGTGGTCCAAAAAATAATCATAAAAGTGTATTTTTAAAAACATACATTCTCACACATATTAGCAAGAAAACATTATTGAGGAAATACAAAAAAATAAAAACATTCCAACCTAACTAAATAGCACTATAAGGCATAAGAAAGTGTGACATTTCACAAGATGATTCTTGCATTTTTTAAGGAAATTAAATGTTCTTGAAGTAACATAATCTCCTTTAACATTTAAGTTTGAAAACACTTTCTTGTGTTTTACTGAATTTCCTGAGTCCCCTCCAGAAACTGCTTTATTACATCCAGTATGTTCCTCTCCTCATCTTACTTCCCTAAGCCTTATTACATCCAGTATGTTCCTCTCATCTTACTTCTCCAAGCTGCTAACCTGTTTTCTTCCAGATCTCACTATGCTTCCTCTATTATTATTCTCTTTAGAGATACCCATTAAAGTCACCTACTGAAGCAATCCATCCATCCACTGCGCAATTTTTGTCTATTTTTATTAACAAGCTCTGCCTCAGGTATTCTGTTTCACTCTAAATTTAAGTTACCACTGTTTTGGAACATCCTTTATTTCACTTGTTCAGCTACAGGAATCTCCTTTCTTAGGACACTTGCTTTACCCATCACTTTTTTAAAATTAGAGACACCTAGTTCACACCCTATATCTACTCCCCAGGTTAAGATCCAGATATAGCTACCCAGCCCTTGTCTTTCACAGTCTTCTTTCCAGGACTAATTTTCCTTCCTAATGTCCTTGTATCTTCTCTATTGTTATGTCTTAATACATATTCTGAATTGCTTGATTTTCTAAGCCAGACAAATAAGCAGCAATAAGTATGTTAAACCTTTATACCAAAACAGCTCAGAAAAGACAGCTGTCAAAGAATACTGGAGACATACTTGGAGCTCGTAAGTACAATAATAGTAGCATACCTGAGATACTCTCCCTCAAAATCAATATTTCTGCTTTCTTATTTCCAATATACCACTCCTACAAAATTCAAGAACGTCAAATAAAAAACAGCTAAAAAAGCCCAACAGCCATCTTTTTATTTCTAGTACATAACATTTAACTTGAAACACCATTTGCATGTGTTGCTCTGATGCTTCAATCTTCATCAGTTTAAAAGCTACGGTTTTTTTCTGAGATGACTAAAATTTAAAACTTCTTGATTTAAAACGTAAAACTTGTGGTTTTAAACAACCTTTAAATTAAATATGCTGATTAATACATACCCATTTAACCAATTCATATGTATTACTAAGTACTGAATTGATTATTCCCTTTTTCCAAGACAACTATTTTCACAAGTCTTGTAAGTGACAAACTGTATCTGCATGAGAACAGGCTTACTAAAAGCCAGAAGAATTTTAAACCCAACTAAAAGTGCTTAGGTACATTACATATTTAAACACTGGAAAAACTATTTTGCATTTAAAACTAAACTGTTTATGTTATTTGGGCTATAAAGAACGACATTACATAAATTATCAGAAAAATAAAATTTCAGAACTGATCTCCTCTTTCTTGACAGTTCTATTAATGTATTAGAAAGAACAAACTGTTTTACTTCTGTTTTCTGTTTCAAATAGATGTAACTTAAATTTGAATAAAGTAAGAACTAGTTGAAACATTTTTAAATAAGAAGACTATTCACTTGATAGCAATAAAAGATACTGATGTATGAATTGATCTTGACATGTCAGCAAATTCTGTTTCCCAGCATCTGGTAGCTGAGACCTCTTGCTTTTCTGAGCACTTTGGCAAGATGCATGTACTGTTGGATATGTGGGCTGGGGTGTGTGCTTTTTGTTTTGATTTGTTTTTAATTTGAGACTATATTCAGCCTGCAGTAACATGCATATTCATCATGAAATTTTAAGTTTACATATGTTTCTTTAATTAAAAGTTAAATTTAATGCATTTAAAAGAAAGGTTTGATACGGCTTTCTACAAAGCCTCTTTATATGGCCTCAAATTATCTGCACCTTATTCTGACATACTTGCAAGAGTTTCTAGATCAATTAAATGATTTTTCACAATCATGGTTCAAAATTGTCTATTTTATATTATATATTTTGAAATGCTTTATGACACAGAAAGAATAAGCCCGGTATTTGATTTGTGTTAGCAATTGAAGAAAATAATTTTAAAATGTTTTGTTTGTTACTGAGACGAATATATGAAAATGACATGTTTCCTTGGAATCTGGGCTTTTTTTTTTTTTTTTTTTTTTTTTTCTGCAATAAAAGAATATGGATTTCCAGCTTCTTAGGAAAATTAAATTTGCATACCAGCACAGAATATCCCCGGGACTTCACTCCGGAATACAACAGTTCGTACTTTCTTATCAGATTTCAAAGCATCCACAGCTTTTGACATCTACAGAGAAAAGGAGGAAGGGGGATCACCAAACACTTTTTAAAGTGCTTCATTCCAATATTTCACCTTTACAGTAAAAACTATTCTTGTCACTTACCATTTTTACAAGATTTTTGCTAAGTGCATTCTTGGCATGAGATCTGTTTAATCCAAGCACCACAATTCCTGGAGAGGAAAAAAGATCAAATCATTGTTACAATGTAGTGTAATATGTATCATCTATGTAAATTATTATTATTTTGAAATTATGCAAAAGGCATTGAGGACTGAAAAAAAAAATGCTAGTGTAATCACTACTGAGTTTCTGAAAGAAGATAAAATTATTTATTCTTTTCAATACTCAACAGAAATTACACTTACTTTAAGAACAAAAATAGGGCTCTAACATCATCATGTGGAAACAGTGCTTACAAAGGTTGAATGTAGAATTATACAACTGCATGCAAAAATTTCATGTTTGTGCATGAAGTGCTGACAAACCATCAGGAAAGATGCTTAATTGTAAAGCACGTATTTCCATACTTAGAGAGCCTATTTCCAGAGACTTTTTAAAGCATGAAGTGCTATCAGAGCAAAGACCAGCAACTCCGATACAGGTAAAAGGAAGTCATAAACATAGAAAGAATGCCACCAATGGGAAAAATTGTTTAAAAAGGAACAAAATCAAACAAAAATTCTCCCTGAAATACAAAAATCAAGATCAATGCTTGGTACATGGCTCCAAAGACACATTCACAGCTCCCTTAGTCCAGTTACAGATTAATTGTCTAACTGGCTGATTACCTGTGCATTGGTTTGGATGTTGTAGTAGAAACAAAAATTGTCTTTATTTTGCACCCCTCACCTTAACAGGCATGAATATCCAAGAGGAAAATTCTGAAACGTCTACTTTGGTAATGCCTAAGTTTACCACAGCTATAGCAATCTTTTAGACAATTACTGCCTGAACCCACACAACTGCCTGAGTTGAAAACACCAACACACAGTCCTGATCCTGCCCTGGTAGTATTTTATCAGTTAGGACTCTCTTCATGCAGAAAATGCAAGGATAAAGTGGAAAAAAGGACTAGGGCAAGACCAGGAATGAAAAGGAGAAAAGAAGCTCTGTCTCAAACAAAAATGCCCACAGTAATGCCACCAACCTATGATATGAAAAAACAGAATTCCAGAAATTTGGTGTTTGCCCAGGTGATTACTACTTCACCACTCAGCTTTAAATGTACAATCTTTGAATGAACAAGCATAGTTATGCTCTTGTACAGCCTTCTTTGTCATCTCAGTGCATACTGCTTCTTCTATTTCTGGAAAACCTGTTCTCCCTTAGGAGTGACCCATTAGTGTCTGAGCTCCCTTCCTCTCCTTCCTCCTGCATGTCTGTTCCACACACATGCACACAAGACAAGATTTAAAAGAGCTCCTGCTCCTTCTGTAGTTAACAATTTGAAGACAAAGTCTTCCATTTACCAGCTATGACTGTCATGATTCAAGTAAAAATAATGTCAAATGCAGTAATAAAGCACACATGACCTTCTTGCACTTAAGGTACAGTCAATTATTACATATAGGAACCTCCTAATAGGGAAGTGGAGCCAGGTAAACCCAAATGACCTTCATTCCCTTGTTCTACAAGCCTGAATTCCCACGCTTATACCTATGGCTGGAGGTATTCATCAGGACCACCTGCAAAGGTTGTTACTCAGCACTTTACATAGGAATCTGTTTATATTCTGTTAAGCAAAAAGGAGTGGTACTGTAGCACTTTTCTTCAGCTGTTACAACTTCTTCTCCAGGAGGAGGATCACTCCAAATTCAAATATTCCATAAGTTCAACACAAGTAGATCAGGCAAAAGCATCATCCTACATCAAGCAACAAAAAGACCCTTCACCCTGACTTCACTTTGATTACAGGCACTAGAGATCCATGTTTGAATACACTAGAGACAATATTACCCCAAACCATACGTCAGTCAGGAAACAGCATCCTTTTCAGAAGCATGTGATACTTAGTGGCAGTAACACTTAATGACATTTGAATTTTTCTTCTCCCCACTGGAACCCAAAAACTGCTACTCCACCACCAACAACAGTGTATTCAGAAGGAAGCTCCACTTAACACTAAAGCACTTTAAAGGTTTTTTTTCCTACAAAGGAATCATCCTTGAAGAGAAATCATACAAGTCAATTTTTGCTTAGCAGTGTCGTATCAAGTCATAAAACTACCACTTCTGCTTCGTTCTACAGAAGTAAAACATAAAGATGGCACCCACCCAGCTGTTTTCATGTAAGTATAAAAAAACTATGTGCAAGAATTGCAAGAGGAAAAGTATAAAAGGTTTGCAAGGGATGCCTACATATTGCAGTGATATACATATACAAAAAACATGCTTTACAGTCACATTTGAATCATTATTGTTCTGATATGCCATTACTACAAGATCTGAGCATCCTGAGGACAGAAGGGACCTTGAAGATCATTTTGTTCCAAACCTCCTGCAAGGACACCTTGCACTAGAGCAGATTGTCCAGAGGCCCTTCCACCATGGCTCTGAACACCTCCAGGCATGGGGTATCCACAGCTTCTCAGGGCAATCACTTTCAGTCCCTAAAAGTAAAGAATTTCTTCCTAATATCTAAACTAAACCTGCTCTCTTTCACTTTAAAGTCCCTCTCTATGTTTCTTACAGGCTCCCTTCAGAAAATGCAATGTCACAGTAGGCCACTCCAAAGCCTAGCCTTCAGGATGAACAGTTCCAATTCCCTCAGATTTTTTTCACAGGAACACTCCATCCCTCCAAACATATTCATGGCTCTTCTGGACTCACTCCAGCAGGTCCATGTCCTCCCTGTGCTGGGACCCCAGAGCTGATGCAGGGTTCCAGGTGGGCTCTCACCAGAGCAGAGCAGAGGGGCAGAATCCCCTCCCTCCCCTGCTGCCCACGCTGCTCTGGATGCAGCCCAGGACACGTTTGGCTTTCTGGGCTGGGAGTGCCCATGGCTGGGTCATGTCCAGCCTCTCACCCACAGCACCCCCAAGTCCTTCTCACAGGGCTGCTCTCCATCTGTTCATCCCCAGCCTGTTCTGGTACCAGAGGTTACTCTGACCCAGGTGCAGCACCTTGCACGTGGTCTTGTTAAATTTAATGAGATTCCCTCAGACTCACTTCCCAAACTTGTCCAAGTCCTTCTGGATAGCATCCCATCCTTCAGGTATGTCAACTGCACAGTTCAGCTTGGTATAATCTAAACATTTGCTGAAGGTGAACACAGTCCCCTCATCTATGTCATCAATGAAGATACTAAATCACAGTGGTCCCAGTATAGACCCCTGAGGCACATCACTTGTCACTGACTTCCATCAAGACACTGAGCTATTGACCACTACGCTCTGGATGCCACCATTCAACCAACTTCTCATCCACTGAACAGTCCATCCACCAAATCCATCTCTCTCCACTTCAGAAAGAAGAGTGTTGAGGGGAACTCTGCAAAAGGCTTTCCAGAAGTCCAGATAAATGACATCTGTAGTCATTCCCTTGACCTCTGATAAAGTGAACTCTATCATTCAAGGCCACCGAGTTGGTCAGGCAGGACGTGCCCTTGGTGAAGTCATGCTGGCTGTCTTGAATCACCTCCCTGTTCTCCGTGTGCCTCAGCACAGCTTCTAGGAGGATCTGCTCCTTAGAGAGGTGAGGCACAGAGAAGAGGCTCAAGGGTCACAAGTTCCCAGGCTCCAGCTTTCTGTTGCTTTTAAAAATGGGTACAAGGTTTCCCCTTTTCCAGTCATGGGGGACTTGACTTGAGGGAGGTCACTTTTCAATAACACCGGTTATGTTGTCATCTGAAGCATTTAATCATGGTTCATTCTTCCTAAAGCACACACATATTTATATGCTTTCCAAAATCCTTTTAACTAAACTGTTTGAAAAATTGACTTGTGAAAGAAAATATATTAAAAAGCAATCATTAATAAATAGAAGTAAAAATTAGTAGTTGTACTAGTAGTAGTATTTGCTTTGTTGGTGTCTGTATGGTATCAAAAACATGACAGATCTAAGAAGGACTAAGCCTTCACAAAATGATAAACCAAACAGTAATGTCATAGTTTTTCCAGGGAGTCATCCCCACATTATTTCTGGGACACACTTTAGCACATAATGTGCACGTATTAAGAATATATCTGCAAACTGAAAATTAACTTCATCTTAACTGGCTAGGCTCTTCAAGAGATGGTGATTCCCAGTGTTGTCCAATATAAGCAGCAATATTCCTGTATACTATTTTCCTAGCCAACCATTAGAGGCAAGGCACATGTAAATGTACAATATATTCTCTACTTAAAAGTTGCCCCTGTCAAAAGAGAAAGCTGCCTGTAGTGTAATTCTCATTGTTTATAGAAAAAGGAAATGAAACTTGTATTATAAAAGTTATATGATAAATATGAAAGTTATATTATAAAACGGAAGCATAGTAAAAGCAAGAAATGTCTTTCACAGAAATAAGGATACATATGTATCTGAAAGATAGCTTCAAAGTATCTGTAAATTCCCAGAAACTTCCTGTTTCATAGCATACACTAAATACAATACTTAAATATTAAGTGAAGAGATTAGATCCTGGATAAACTCCTGTTTGTATCAGCACACAGGAGATCTTACTTTTAATAATGTTTTTATCTCTTTTATATTGCATATTTAGAAATCAAAACATTCATCCTCAATGTTTGGTAGAAACACATCTAAATGGTTACTTAAAAATTAATCTTGTCTTTAAACCAATACTAGACATTTTGCCAGAGTTTGAAAGATTCACTACATCTGCATATAAAGCAGCCACAGAATTCTTTGTATTTATTATTTATTTGCATTCAATACATACACAGAGGCCATTTTGCGTAATTTAAAAAAATATTTTTAAAATGTCTGAATTGTGCTTTGGTAAGTGGAAGGGGATCAAAGTAAGTTATTTTTAAGCTTGTTTCACTTAACTACTCAGATGCATCAAGGCAGACAAGTGGATGTAGATGTTTATTATTCTGAAGTAATTTTTTAAGCAAAACAGGAACATATGGTGAATATATCATGCACAATTCTGGTGGCTTTCATTAATCATCTAATCAAGAAGTATTTAAGTGAAAAATCACACAGATGTGTACTAAACAGCACTTTTTAAAAGCACCAAAGCATTATTCAAAATCCCCTATGAGCCTGTTTCATCTCTAAATTCTGATTTAACTCTTTTCCACGCTTCTTAAGTTACTAGATTTCACCTGCTCAGCCCTGCTTTAAACACAGCAAAAGAACAGGAAGTTTTTCCAATTTATCAGCTAGCTATCAGTTTCCAACCTCTGAGCAAACAACTTAGACCAAGACTGTATTTGGTTTTGCCCATTCCATGTACATTAAAATTCTAACTGTTGAAGACATAAAGCTGTCTTATTCTAAACTGAACCAAAACCAGCTGGGAAATTTGACCATAAGGAGTCATTCTAGTGTAAAATCTAAATTCTAAAAATATTTTTATCACATTCCAGCAAGTGACACTGCCACACTGGAGTGAAGACCAAAAAGATATTTCTCCCAATTTCACCTATAACTTAAAAATCCAAAGCAATACAATAATTTAAATTTGTAATGGGATCACCAATGCAATTTGGCTACGTTCTGAAATGTCAATAGCTGCAATACATTTCAGCCCTAGCGATGATCAAATAGAATCTCAAATCAAGTAAAAGATATATACTTAATTTAAAAACACTGACAGTCATCTTTACTCACAGAAAACTTACACTTAGAGCTTCACAAGTTGCAGCATGGGCAGAATATACAGGTACTTTTTAGTCACATTCTTCAAAAATCTCACACCTTTTGTATTCTAGTTCTGGTCAAATTTCAAATTTGGAAGTTGGAAAGCCTTGAGTTAAAATGTCAATAACTAGCCTTTGGAAACATACTCTCATTTTACTTCATTTTGAACAACTTCCCAAGACCTGGGGTATGCAAATCACATGGAAGTGAAGCAGAACAGTTTGCTACTTTGCCTACAGGCAAAGATTTGTCTACTGCCTGTAGATTTGTCACGTACATGTGCCTGTACGTGAGGCAGGTACAGCCAGCTTTCCCTCCTCCCCAGTATTCACAGTGCAATCTGAGCAACATGGAAACACTAGGCACATACAAGAGCACAACCACAGCATCAACAAGCAGGTGTGTGCCAGAAAAGGTAGTCAGAGAGCAGGGTCTGAGTGTGCATGAAGTCAAGAAGTATGAAACGGTGTGATGAGACCAGAGTACCGTACGGGAAAGTCAAGAACGTGAAACGGTAGATCAAGGAATGGCAGGGTAGAAAAGAGCAAGAAAGAGCACAGGGGTGTTTACAGAGCTGGTGTCCTCATTCAGCAGAGATACCACATGCTGTAAGCAGATAAATATAGATGAACTTGGTATACAAGGTGAGGAGGAAGGTGTGTCGTAGTACTACAGGGAGGAAGCAGAGCCATGTTTCTTTTGCAGAAATGTTGCCTGCTCTTTGTGCTGCTGAATAAGGCGTATGAAATTAATGTCTACTTCAAGGATACATTTCTATATCCTTGTTTTTATCTTTTTCTAACAAACAGTGTTTGTGTCTGTGTCCTTCTGAAATACAATACCAAAGAAAATTCCTTCCGCTTAGAGAATTCATTTATTAAAAATACACTGATTGAATCCTTCCTTATGACAGTGACAGTTGCTTTAACATTACAAATACTATCTCCAAGTTTTGGGACATTAGGCTACATATAAGTATGAAACACCTTCATAACATTACAAAAACAATGACTCCTTGCTGATTCAACAGCTGGAACACACTGCCTAATTCTATGTGTAATAGAAATAAAAGTTGATTACTATGTAATACTGAGGTATTTTCTACCACTTCTTGGTAAAGCACAAAATAAGCAAAGAAAAACACTCTTCTAACATTTTACAAACTTTCCTTTGCTCCTGTCTTGTCTCTTCCTTAACTTAAAATAAACCACAAAAATCTGAATAGATGTTTTAAACTAATTCAAAGTTCTAGAGTCAGCTGGAAAAACAGTACTAAACTAGTACATTTTAAAGGAAGTAGAAAGAGTTGGGAACAGAACTACAAGACAGAAGATAATTTCAGGATCATATTTTATCACCTTTACTATCAATCCTAAATAATGACAAAACCTGCCCTGCTGAAAGCTGATAAAAGCACATCAGTTTTCCCTTGAAAAAGAAAGAATAATCTTCTAAGCTCATACTAAAATTCAAAGTTTTGAAGTTACCTCTCTGTATATGTATACAAATCTATGTACTGGCCTACTTAACTCAAAGGCATTTGGCTGAATTGGTAGCAGGTGTGAAATTGCTGAATTAATGTGCTCAAAGACATAAACTAAACTGTACAAGATGTACTCTCCATGTAAAGAGATTCATGTGCAGATAATCAAAACCCTATACTATGGTCCCCTCCATAAAAGCAGGTATAACATCATGTCTAAGTATAAGTATTATCAGCATAAATCCTCAGGAACAGAGTTTGCACCTCTTCTCCACCATTCCTAGCCCTGTTGAATCCACAGGGGAAGGAAGTGACAAACACCAAAGGAAGTGGAACACTTCCAAAATCCATGAGCACCACATCATAATAGGAAGCACAAAGTGTCCGTGCTGTGATGAACTGGCTGCATGTCACTAAGGAGCACAAATTTTCTTTCTTTTTTTAACCAGATGTGTTAAAATAAGACTCTCGGTATAACTGAGTAGAAAAAAGTGAGTAGTGCTCAACAACACTAAAAGCAAGGAGGAGGATGAGATGATTATTAGGAGAGTGGCATGAGATGAGAGAATACTGAAGCCATACCTTCCACCACAGAAAACATGGATATCAGTTTTATGCCCTCTCTGCCCCCTGCACACAAAGCACAAAACTGATGTCTGAAGCAGCCTGACTCTAGATATTTGCTGCTAAACTTCATTTTCACACAATTAGAGTGGCAAACAGATCCAGCTCACACAGGTGTACAGTATATATGCTGCAGTTCTCTAGAAAAGAAGTGATGCTGTTGATACACCTCAAGGACAAGATAACATCCATAACAACCTAGACAAGCTCATGAAATGGGCCCATGGGAATATCATGAAATTTAACAAGACCAGGTGCAAGGTGCTGCAACTGGGTCAGGACAATCCCCAGTATCAACACTGGTGATGAACAGATGGAGAGCAGCCCTGTGGAAAGGACTTGGGGGTGCTGTGGGTGGGAGGCTGGACATGACCCAGCCATGGGCACTCCCAGCCCAGAAAGCCAAACGTGTCCTGGGCTGCATCCAAAGCAGCGTGGGCAGCAGGGGAGGGAGGGGATTCTGCCCCTCTGCTCTGCTCTGGTGAGACCCCACCTGGAACCCTGCATCAGCTCTGGGGTCCCAGCACAGGGAGGACATGGACCTGTTGGCATGCGTCTAGAGAAGGTCATCAAGATGATAAGAATGGGACACCTCTCCTATAAAGAAAGGCTGACAGAATTGGAACTGTTCAGTGTAGAAATTAGAAGGCTTTGAAGTGACCCAATCGCAGCTGTCCAGTACCTGAAGGGAACCTACACGAAAGATGAGGCAAGACTATCCACAAGGGCATGTAGCAACTGGTCAAGATGGAATTGGTTCAAATTGAAAGATAATAAATCTAGATTAGTTAATAGGAGGAAAATCTTTACTGTGACAGTGGTGAGGCACTAGAATAGGCTGCCCACCGAAGCTGTGGCTGCCCCATTCCTCGAGCTGTTCAAGGCCCGGCTGAATGGGGCTCTACGCAAATCTGGTCTAGTACGAGATGGAGGAGTTTGAACCAGATACTATTCAAGGTCCTTTCTAACCCGAACCGTTCTACGATGCAGTGAAGATCAAGAAGGACCGAGCTGACCCAGTTCCGGCACCGCCATGCCGGCAGCTCCCGGCGCTCCGCGGCGCAGCCCCGGCTTGGGAGAAGGAGAAGGAGAAGGAGGAGAAGGAGGAGCCAGCGCTCTCTGCCCGCCCCTCGCCGCGGGCAGCTCCCGCAGGGCCGCCCTCTCCCTGCCCCGCAGGGGTCACCCCGGCCCGGCCGGGACAGCAGGTGCAGAGCCGCCTCCCCCTCATTACCTTTGTGCTCATCATCCAGGTACCGGACGCGCAGCTCCTCCTCTTCCTTCGCCTGGGAGCCGTAGCTCCTCCTGGCCGAGGGGAGAGCGGCGGCGGTGACGCCTCCCCGCAGCGAAGGCGCGCGGTGGCCGCTTGGGCCGAGGGCGGCGGAGGTCGCGGCGGCTGCGGCTGCGAGCCTGAGCCGGGCGCGGAGGAGGCCGAGCCCGCCCAGCGCCGCCGCCGCCGCCGCCATCGCTGCTGCCGGCGCCGCCTCAGCCTCTCGCGGCCCCGGCCCCGGTGCCGCCGCCCACGTGACCGGCTGCGGCACGCACGGGGCGCGCTCCCGCCTCCCCTCCCCTCACCGCGCCGCCAGCCGCGGCTCCTGCGGCCCGGCCCTGCTGGGGAAAAGGCTCCTCCGGCAGGGGAGATGGGAAACGGGACAGAAAACCAGCCCCGTCCTGGGCCGTGTCAAAAACAGCGTCAAAAACCGCGTGGGCAGAAGCAGGGCGGTGTTCTGCCCCCTCTGCTCCGCCCCGGTGAGACCCCACCTGGAGCGCTGCATCCAGCCCTGGGGTCCCCCGGAGGAAAAAGGCAATGATGAAGTGCAGAGGAGGCCGTGAGGGTGATAAGGGTGATCTGCAACACCCCCTCCGCAAAGCCAGGCGGAGGGAGCTGTGGCTGGTGAAGCATCGTGAAGAGATGGAAAAGAGAAGGCTGTGTGGGCACCCTACAGCAACCTTGCAGTGTCTAAAGGGAAGTTCATCAGGATCTGTAGTGATAGGACAAGCAGAAATGGGTACGAATGAAGAGAGAAAATGTAAGTGGGATTTTGGGAAGAAATCCTTCACTGCGACAATGGATGAAACTACTGGAATAGGTTGCCCAGAGAAGTTGCCTCAGCCCTCACAGCACTGAAGTTGAATAAGGCTTGAGTAACATGGTCTAGCAGATGTCTGCCTATGGCATGTGAAGGGGTTTGGGACAAGATGATCTTTAAAAGTCCATTCCCGCCTCTTGACATTCTGTGATTCTCACGCACAGCTTAAAATATGCAGGTGCATAGACAAATTTCTCATTAGTAACAGCAGATGTTTAGTTTCATCAGGGCTTCATACTGCTGGAAGTTGTGCAGCACGTTTATTTGCAGTGAACTTGAGAACATCCCACCTTAAAGGCAACATGCTCAGGCTCTTTTGTGCTGTGTGTGTGGTGGCACCAGAATGAACACTCATGAGCTCTGCAGTACTTACTTCTTGCCCCACATCAGCCATGGCAAAGCCTGGTCGTGGCATCAGCACTGAACAAAGAAAGGAGCTATGGTCAATAACAGAAACCAGGTATCACATGGTTCTGTATACTGCAATAAAAGATAGGATTCACCATCCTGTTTTGGGGTTCTCAGAATTACCATTGTGTTGCAAAACTAAGGATCAAATTAATATGCCTTGGAGGTTAGAGTTGAGTTTAGGTCTCTAAGCAACGCTGCCATGGTGTCTGCTTTGCCCTCCATGCACACCAGCAGACATACCAGCATGAAACAAATCAAACAATAAAAGCAGTAACAATGGAGGTGGGAGGTAATTGCTATGTTTTGTTGTAAATTCACATGATTCAGGACTGCTATGACCTGTTTCAAAAAGGTTGAAATTTCAGCAATCCATGTGTTAATACCATAACAATTTAGTTGAGCCAGAACATGCATTAGATACAAAGAAGTTGACTTGTTTCCTTACACAGAACCTGGCAAAGGTTGTTATAACCATAGTTAATGCAGGTCAGTAATGAGGCTGTTAAAAGCTGTGAAGTTTGTCTTCTTCAAGTTTATTTCCTTCAAATTAGGTCTTGAGAACTGAAAGCATGCCTTTGAGCCACCCTCTGCCATTTTCATAATTCAGTGTTACTTAATTAGAGGAATAAAGCTGTACTGCTTCTGAGCAGAGGCTCAGATGGAGCCATTTTGGTTGTTATTTTGGAGAGCTAGTTACTGCATTCCTTCATGCAGTTGCTCAGCAGCTCCTCCATGCCTTCCTTCTGGAGAAGTGAAGGTCTAAAAATAATGTCCTGTTTGTTCGCTTGAAGCACCATGAAGGGCAAATGTGCATGTGGGGGGAGGAATAGACAGGTTATCACCTTGCATTTATTATGTTTTACTATTTAAACACGGCAATAGCTTGTGATTCACAGCCCTTTCCAGCAGAGCCCGCAGCATGCCAAAGACTTCCAGTAGAAAGGAATTAAGAAAATTTTGTTTGCAGTTGAAGAACATCTTCGTTTATGAGAAGGAATTTTGAAATGTCATATTGAATTACATCAATAGAAACAGAGACAGCGCTATTCTAAAAGATGCAGAAGATAAATAGGCATTAAAAGCAGACCTAAATTCACTGCCATGTCATAATGTTGCCTTGAAGATGAAGGCAGACATTTAGTCACATGCAGTGGCTCCCAAACTGAAGAACTAGTGAACACATTTCTGAGCAGAAGTAAGTGCAGTCAAGCCAACAGATTCGTCTCCATTGTAGAAACACCCAGTCATTTTTAAAATGAAGAATTTTAGAAATGCAATTTTCTTCTACATGCCATTGTCTGATTTTAATTTATTTGTGGAAGAAGTGAAAAGAAAATTTAATTTCTGTTTATTTTTTCTCAATGTGTAAAACTGCATGATATGATATTCATATATGTGTGGTTTATTGCAGTCATTTGATACTATGCTGCATTTTTTAATACTGTGTATTCAATTCCTCCCATTCCCTGACACGCAAGCGTAATTCAGGACTCAGATGAAAGCAAAGTTTTCCATATTCTCTTTTTCCCTGATTTTTTCACTGTAGTTCACTTCTAAAACACAGCTTTGAGGTCATAGTAGTACATGAAAGGTAAAGTATGTTGGCATACTTTACATGTTATTTAAAGATATATCCCAGTTTTAAAAAATAGAGCAACTAGAAAACAGTTTTAAGTAACTACCTAAATAACGTATCTCATTTGGTAGCCTGATTGCTGCTACACACAGATATCCACAGATATTGATACTTGGTGATGAGTGAAATAAATTTATTATAATAAATCCTGATTCAGCCTCCCTTATGTCCACAGAAGCAGTGAATGAAAATAGAACCAGTGTAGATAGAGGCTAGCTCACCAAATTCTCTGTACGCAGCTGCAGCTTCTAATACAGTCCCTCACTCATTGTCTAATCCAAGGGGAAAAACTTGGAAGGTCCTTCACCCTGATTAATATTACATTTGAAGTTGCCTTGGAAAGCTTATTTACATCAGGTTACAGCTTCTCACAGTGTGCAGGACTGAAACTGGCAGGTGAAATGTGCAGCCCCTTTTGTAGATTGATTATGGCCTTTGATAATATAATCTGGAGGGGGGTGGTTGGGGCTTGGGGTCAGGACAATGCTGTTGCAATTTACACAGCATGGGGCAGAGGTACAGAAATTGGCAGACTGTTTATGTGGTTTGTGGAGAGAAATTTTTTCATAATACTATTCTGCATGTGCATTTACTATTCTACTATTGGTGCATGGCACCTGCCATGGTTCATTTGCTAGAGGAACAACCTCACTGTTAATTAGGTATGACAGAAGCATGTGGTCTCTAAACTTCAAATCTAAATTAAGTGCTTATAACCGAAGAGTGTGAAACTACTTGTGGATGTTCAGTTAGGGATCCAGTGCTATTAAAAACACTAATAAATCATTTGAAATGAGACAGGAAAATAATTGCATGTGTATTTATATAATATGCAGTTTTAATGTGAACAATGAAAGGGTTCAGATAGTATGTACAATGAAGCAGGAATATGGGCAAGGAATCTCATCTAGTTCTAAGTTGCTCTAATTTTCTTACATTGATGCGTGTAGATGAGGTGTAACATGCTTTCGTTTTCTCTGGATAAGCATATCAGTGTCAATGGGTAGAGTAAAAAGGGAACACTTTTTAGAGGAAAAATGTCATAACAAGTTTGGCTTTTCAAGCTAAGTCCTTTGTCTTGCAAATTGAAAAGTAATTGTCTCTGTAAAGGGACTGTGATATTTGAGAGTGAGATCCATCAGCTATCAGTCCTCTAAAGTTGGTTTGCAAAGGTTGTTTCAATTTCACACCACCCACCAGAAGCATTTGTCTCTTCTAGTTTTCACATATTTGCTTTTTATCAACAGTAGGATTTTTCTGATTATTGTGTTATGCAGTTAGTACACTTGTTTTTCCAATCATGATTTTTAACTTTTTGTAAAACATTTTTGATATTTTAAAACTGATAATGAGAAAGACATTACCCTTGTTATGTATTTATTATATGCGAGCATATAGCACACATGTTCCCTTATTGGCACTGAGCCTATTCAATATGTTTTGCAGGCAGCTGTTTCCTTAGATTGTCCATTTTCTTTCTTCTCAATGTAGCTTTAAGACTGTAATGCCAAGATACAAGATGTTTTACAACTTATTTTTTCTCTTCAGGAATTGCTTTTACTAAACTTAATCTACTTGGGTATCCTTACAAGCTTGCTTACTTGAACCTTGTTACCCAGCTCCAGCACATGTTATTAAGAACTCTACCCATGTGTCACTCATGTCTTGGAGCACCCAGCAGATTTTGGCTTTGAATAATGTCAGCCCCATTTATTTGTGCAAATATTCCTTCATCTTGAAAATAGAGACAACTGCATTGGATTAAGATAGTGGAAAAGTGCATGGCATATGTGAGCCAATTACAGAGACTTTTTAAAATCCTGCTTTCCAAAATTGTCTGCCCATTCTCTTCAGATCACAAACAAGACATAATGCTAAAACAATTACAGGAACACAAACATGCCGAGCAAGGCCTCTTCCATGAGTAAATTGTCACTAGCAGCCAAGGGCTACAGCTCTTAATAGTGAAAGGTCGGAGGCTAGGGTGGCCCTTAGGTACTTGAAACTGGAATTGAGCAGATATTTATTAAATAAAATTTATAGAATGCTTTATTTTGAGGCAGGGTGCACAGTTTATCCCTAAAGGACATGAAATAAAGGCAATTGTTTTTATGAAGTTATACATAAACACAGATACTGAAAACAGAATTTACAGACAGTGAATATTCTTTAAAATTTATATATTTATATGTAGGTACGACTCCCAAATATGTACAGGCTGATACATCTCCTTTCACCAAAACTTTTAAACAGCTTTCTCATGTTTTTAAAGTAGTTCAACACATCAGAAAATTTACTGAGCCAGCTAAATAACTGTGCATTCAGGCAAACTGCAAACCAACTCTAGCATCATTGAGTACTTTTCTTACAGTGAAT